TTATGTGGTGAAAAAAGCAGGGAGAAGCGGTGGTGCTGGTGGCAGAGCAGGTGACAGGACATTTTTATGGCCCTGTGGCCATCGCTGGAGCTGAGGTGCCGAATGGTGTGTTATGAAGCAAGTAGCAGAGCTCCGGCTATACAATCCCATGCCAGTTAATCACTGAGAGACTAACCTCTGGGCAGCCCTTGCTCTCCTTGCTGCTGCCAAGTGCCCCTCTGGTACCTCCCAGTATGGTCCAGGGAGCGAGGGCAGGCTGGCTGCACCTCGCAACTGGGGAGCCTGGTTTCTCAGGCAATACATTCCGTGGTGAGCTGCTAAGCCAAGGAATGGGAAAAAAAACCAAAACCAACCTGAGTAAAGCAAGAGCAGGTGATGAAACAGTTCAAATGCCTCTTTCACCTTTCTTTTTTTTTTTTTTTTTCTTATTTTTGCTCCCTTGACTCCCTGCTTTGTCTTGTGCACAACAGGGCTCTTCTGGAAACAGATGGTTTCCTACTGAGGCTGAGCCACCGGTTCCGCTCAGGAGGCAGACTCGGTCCCATCTGGGCCACCTCTTCTGCAGTTGCGGTGTTCCCACGCTGGGCTCTTGCTGCTCCTCGCTGCGCTGACCCGAATCCCGCCTGGGATTTCCCCTGTGGGGCAGGCAGAGGAAGCCAATGTGCCAATTTTCTTTTATTTGGGTGAAAGTTACTGGAAAATACCTGTATTTTCCTGACATCTCCCTACACCTCATCCTTCCTGGGTAAACCTGTGTCACTTTCCGTGCTGCCTGTCAAGGGGAGGGTGCCTCTGATGGGGATCTTTAGCTCCTGGGTTGTCTTACCTGGAGACCTGGATGCTACTGGCACAATCTCGATTAAACAGGGACAGCATAAAACGTTACGGTGCCCTGTCTGGACCTGACACATTGCACTGGAGCCACTGAAGTGCCATTGACTATGGGCCCTGCTGAGAGCTGCCATTAACTGTCTGGCAGCAGGGTGGGATATTGGATTTTGCCCTGACCTTCCCTTCTTCCTGCCCCCAGTAGTTCAGCTAAAACAAGGAGATGTTTTTCCATCTCCTTCATCTGTCAAGTTTGTTTTTGAGGGAATGAGATGGGACTATCTCCTCTTTTTTGTACTGTTTGAGATGTATACTACTCAACACTGTTGCTGCAGGGTAGGACCTCAGTGCCATGTGTGTAGGGGTAGGGACTCGGGAGTTCTTCTCTCCCTGGTGTTAGTAAGCAAAAACTATTGTCAAAGAACTTACAGGAACTTTTCTATATTGTCATAGATTCCCATGGGATCACTATATGGAAAGCGTTGTGTGCTCAGTTTTATTGAGGGTCTTGTGTACTTGGTGAACTTTTCTGAAAGATTTAGAGTCAGCATTAACACCACTGCTTGAAAATCACCAATTACATAATTTTTTTTCTTTGGAATATTTTTGGCCCACTTGGTGTGAGAGAAAAAGCTTGAAAAATACATCTCTAATGGCTCCAGCACTGATTGCTTGCAAAAAGAACCTGCGCAGGCCTAAAGAAAAAAGTTATTTTCCCAATTTTAGGGAGTAGAAAGATTCATGAATTTTCAGTGCTTAGTTTGGCACTGCGATTTGGGCCAACTGAGCAATCAGGCTAGTTACTAGCCTTGCCTCTGAATTTATGCTGTGCTAGGCAGGAGAAATGACTAAGAGCACAAAAAGAGGGAATTTCTTTTTTTAAAAAAACAAAGTATCCCCCCCCCCCAAATAAAAAAGCTCAGAAAAAAGTGACTCCATTAATACTAGCTTGAGTGGCAGAGCAGGAAATCGGCTGAAAATGAACAAAGAGCCACGCGGCAGGGATGCTAATGCAAGCAAATGCCAATTCACACTTCGGCAGGCGGCGTGTGGCAGCTTGTTTTCCTGTTCAAACATTTTAGCCAGATAATGAGCAAAAAACCCAAGCATTTTTCACATAATCAACTGAGTTTGGAAGGGAGAAGCAATAGAGGAAGGGGAGCCGCGGTGCTAATTATTTGCCAGCTGATATGGCTGTCAACGAAGCAGCACGGGACTGTGCGGGGGGTGCGTTGCTAATTGGTGGCAGCGGCTGTAGCTCGGGTCGCTGCTTTTGGCCGCTTGGCTGGTGGTGGAAGCTGTTGTTAATGCACAGGCAACCTGGTTGCTTGCTGAAATGGAAGCCAGGGCACGTTTGCCAACAGCTATTGGGGTAGGGAGGGTAACCGTTAGCGAACTGGGGTTGCATATCAATATCGGTTGGGGTTGCGATGGGGAAATGAAGCGCAGAAGGGCGCTAGTGGCTGTCTGGTCCAAGGTGGTGTGTTTATGTGAAGCAGATGGTTGACTGCTTTACTTTGCCAGCAGATTATGGAGTTGGCTTTGAACCATCTTGTGTGGTTTCCCAGGAATGCAGGCATCCCATCCGCAGCAGAACGTTGCTGCCTTGAGCATGTTACCTGGGGTCAGAGCTGGCAGCGATGCTCTCACATGGAAGGCGGCTGCATGCTGGGGAGGTCCTCACCATCCACAGTGTCCTGTGTGACCGAAGGCACACTGATGCTCCAGTGGCATTGAGAGGCTCCGGTCCTGCATGTCCCAGGGTATTTTGCAGGTGCCTTTTGCAGTGCTGAAAAAGCAGCCTCATGCTGGGTATCCTGAGCTGCTGTTTCGGGGTTCCTCTCCCAACGTGCTGCTGCATTTGGGAAAGAAGTAAAGGGAGGTTGTAGCTGCTAGGCTGAGTGGTGTGGGCAGGGAGTAGTTGGTTCAGCATTGTCCTGCTTCTGCCCCGGGAAATGCCACCTTGCTTTGTGCTCCCAAACCATCCCTGTTGTCTGACTCTGCAGTTCTGCAAGGCATGGGGTGACAGAGAAAGAGTAAGGCAGGATATTAGGAAAAACCTTCTGGAGGGAGGAATTAAGATAAACATGGCCAGCTGTGCCAGAGATTGAAAGGTCTGAATCTTTATCACTATCAAACAGCTACTGGAGAAGAGATGGCATGGGGCTTTGCTTTTTTTTTTTAAAAAACATTGGATGCTGGAGTTAAACTGTCCCAAGTAAATTAAACTTTCGAGAATCATTAAGCCCAGAACCTTGACCCTGGCCTCCCCATCACCCAAAGAACCATTGCTATTAAAAATGCAAATTTTGTTTTCAAGCCTTCCGCTCTTAGAGTTGATGCTAGGCTGTACCAGCACCTATATGAAATCAATGGCTCACCTTGGTGCTTGCTGTAATTCTCTAGCCAAGTGCTGCTGCTTTCACTGTCAGCATTGAGTAATGCTACAAGATCTCCATGGTCAGGATAGTACTGTTTTATCCTATCTGTTCTTACCCTTATTTTTTGAAAGGCAGAGCTTCACTCCCCTGTTTCATGGAGGTCCTGGATGCTGGGGTATCAAGGTTCAATGTGTTTTGGCAGCAATGGCTTGGCATAGCTTGGTGATGGTCTAGTGCCAAGTGCTAGTTCTTGCTTCATTAGAGATCTTCAGCTTAGTGGTGATGGAAAAGCATTCAAAGTGATGCAAGAGAAGAGTCCAGGGTCTGGATATCTACATTGTCCCTCTATGGGCTGCAAAAATTTGGGCTGAAAAACTAAGTGGTGTTTATTTTTCAACTGAAAATTTTTATGCTTGAAAATGCAGATTTGAGTCAGCCAAAACTTGTCACTGAGTTTTGTCAACTTGTGAAGTTACTTCAGCTGGGGCAAAGAGAATTAAAACTAGATAATTTTTTTTTTGTTTTTTTGGAGATTACTTTAGGTGGAATCTTATTTCATTTTACTTTTAAAAAATGTTCAAGTCCTTGAGCAAAATTCCCCTTCTAGTGGTTAAGCATAACCCACGTGACTCAATTTACACCATCATTTTTCTCTTTGTGGGGAAAGTGGGCTGCCAGAAAACCGAGCATTGGTTTTGATTTCTCTGTGTATAGACCACTATCTGGAATGCGGCTGAACAAAAATCGTCATTCCCTTTGTACGCAGCAAGACAAAAACTTCTCTGTAACTTATATTTAAGTTACTTAAGAGCTGTGGACAAGAATAAATGGATATGGTTTTCAGTAACCTGTATTTATACTATCATGTACAACTTCTAAACCTTCACAGCTATTGAAAATTGGGAAAGGCAATCCAGGAATATGGTCACTGAGAATCGGAGTTATGTGATACTATATGGTTACTAGAAATTATTGATTGAAAAAGTGCCAGCTTTTTAGGAAATGCCATAAAAATTGACATTTTAGATGGATGGCAATTAAATCTGTAGAAGCGTGCTCCCTTTTCCACAAATAACCTCTATGCCATATAGGAGTCTTCCTAAAGGAGAATACAAAGATATTTAAATACTTTAAATTTAAATCTCAACTTATGCTGGATGGTGCATTTACAGTGCATAATACTATTTTCTCTTTCCTCTGACTTTTTCTTCAAATCACTTAAAAGAAGGTGCTCTCTATATTGTACAGAAGCTGGAACAGCAGCAGGAAAATGTGACTTTGAAATAATGGGATCTATAAGAATAGGCAATTTCGTTCAAGTATAGTGATTTAGTGCCCTGTTAGTGTCCTGATGTATAACTCCATTTTCAAAGACCGTAAGTTTCTTCACAAGCATAATGACAGGCTTAAAACTTGTGAGACTAATGCCACAGCTTTCTCTGTCCTCAGCTGTTCCACATAATTACAGGAGTAAGGGAATTTTGTTCTCTCCTAATGGATTAGCTCCAAGAGGAATAAATCAGATAATGTTATTGCCTTCTTGTTTCTTTCCCTCCCTCTCTAAAAAGCAAGATAGCCCATATGGCGCAGTGCAAAGCTAGGGCTGGAAGTGTTTTTTCTTGCCTACAGTCTGTGAAACGGATGTGATCCCAATTCTGGTGTCACCAGGACAAACATTTTAAAGTGCTCTGGATTTGTTGTTTGTTGCTTTTGGTACTAATTTCAGCTTCTGTGTTTGCTCTGCTCACAGACGATGGCCCTTACTCGAAGGGGAGCAAGGATTCTGGTGGGATGGACGCAGCCCTGGTCTCCAGGAGGCAAAGCATCCCAGGTAAAGGAGGCGATCAGCTCCTGTTCCAAAACATCAGGGCATTCATTACGCTTTACCTGGCTACCCCTAAAATGGGTAAAACGCCCCAAAACACCCATTTTGGTGCATCTATCAGCAAGGCTTTTGCTGGAGGGCAGAAATGGATGGTAGTAACTCATCTCAGTGAGTGGTATGTTACTGGTGCAATCACAGTCTGGTGTAGAGCTGTTTATGGTGGTTACAGGGAGCTGGGAAAGGACTGGTTCCTGTGCTGGGCTGACACCCACAAAGAGGAAAACAGCAGCAAAGGAGAGAGGGAAGAAGTGCTGCCACATTTGAACTCACTGGGCGGGGAGGGAGACGAGCAGTGCCTGGCGAGCTTGGTATTTCCCATGTGTGACTAAGTTTGTTTTGATATTTAGTCAAAACAAACAGAAACACCCCCAGGGGCTGAAGAGGGAGTGGAGAAACAGTAGTACATTTGCCTCTGTTGGTGCTGGGCTTTGTCTGCCAGCGGCATACCAGCAGGTTTGGATGGGTTGCTCTGGAAAACTCATCATCTTCCTAATAAAGCCCAGGGCTTGATTTTGACTTCTGACCGTTAATGACCCAGTCACAGGTTTGGCTTAGAGTGTTGTAAGGGATGGGGAGGAAACGGGGCCCTTTTGCTATTGCTTCATCATTCAGCATTTTTTGTGGGCGATATTCTGCATCATGTTGCCACTGTACCGCAGCTCTGATGGAGAGAGGCTGACTCCCCGCTCACAAGAGCCAGTACGTCCAACAGCCCCAGCTCAAGACATCTCAACGGGCAGGGCAAAATTCAGGTGTGCTCTTCCTGCCCTGGGATGCTCTGAGCAGCAAAATCCAAGCATATATGCTAATAGAAGAAATCCAAGATTACTGTCATATGGCACTTAAACACTATATGTCTTGAAGGACCAGATCCTGCTTAACCAGCTCACTTTTACATCTGTGTGTGTCTGTGATAGCGGCAGTAGATTTATAGAGGCATTGGTCAAAATCCCTTATTGCTTATCTTGATAGATTGACCTCAGAGACTTGCCTTTTTTCAGAGCAGTGATTTCTCCTTGAACCCATAACAATAGGTAATTGCGCTCTGGGAGTTCTCATTTTAAACACTTATCAAGGATCAAAATTAAACTCCATTGAAGAGCTAATAATCTCCCCTTGCGGCACCATCTGTGTTGATCAGTTATGTCTGTAGTTGAGAGGAAATTTGCAGGATAGTGCCGGATGGTGTTCCTTCCAGCACGGCAGGGAGGCCCCGCAAAGTTTCTGGCAGCCCCTGGGATCTTAGGTTGGTGAATTGAAAACTAAGCTACTGTAGTTGGCAAGGGATCAAAACTGAGTTTAAAGAGCAGAACCATTATGGACCTGATGTTTTACAACAAGCTGCCAGTGCCACGTTAAATGGGTGCCCAGCAGTGCCTAAACACCTTCCAGACTGGCGCTAGATTGCTCGCATTAATCAAGTGCACAGATTATTCTTGGAAGTGCTTTATAAAATAGGTAGTGCCTGCAGGACTCGAAGGGAGGTGCAATTTCTGGTGTCACGGTGGCATTACACAAGGAGCAAAGTGCTGGTGATGAGGCACCACAGTGCCAAATGACACCGTGTTTTCTCCCAGTGAAAGAGGATGGAGGGGTGAAGCCCTGCACCAGCATGGATCTTCTGTGTCAATATGTTATTTAAGAGACCCTGCCTTGCTCTGGAAATCATAGTGTGCAAGAAGTTTCAAATGTTCCCTCTCCAAATACAGCATCTCATTTAAGCCTGGTGGGGTTTGCTGTGAAAACAAACTCCTGGGCCATTTGTGGAGTTGGTTTTAGTCCACAGCTGTGGGACTGCTGTTTTCTGTGCGCTGCCAATGCCCATCACCACTTTCTCCTGCAAGGCCTTGGAGAAAGGTGCCCTGTGGGAGGGAGACTGTTTTCCTCCTGTAAAGTTGTGGGAGATTTCAGTACACCAGAGATAGTGGAGGTGGATGGATCATGTTGTAGACAAATTCTGCAAAAGCTTCTTAGAAGAGGCTCTGGCAAGGCATGAAAGTCATCTGATTTGCCCCAGGACTAGTCCTCGTTTGAGCAAAGAGTGCGAGTGCCGTCATGTGGGTTAATGGGGAGCTGCCTTTTGCCAAGTCTGCAGAGCTCTTGGTCTTTCCTTGGGCCGGTGCTGGCTCTCCTGCTAACTTACTCCCCTCCTCCATCCAGAAGTTGGAATAGTTTAGGGACCCTGTTTTTGTAAAACCCAGGCATGAGCCGTAATGGGATCAAAGCTGGGATCAGGTCGGGCTTATATATAGGTGCTGGACAAACAAGAGTGTCATCTTGGACTAAAGGAAGGTAAAATGTATGCTGCCTGCAGCAAACAAAGAAGTTGTACTGGTGCAGCAGCCGTGGGGTGTGCATCCCCTAAACCTGACCCTGGCATATGGATTATGGCTTGGAGTGCATGTGGGACCAGTTATGTCGTAAAAGTGACTCACGTCTTCAATTCCAGCTGTAGATGAGGTGGGTAATATGGAGAAGTTTGACTTAGACCAGGTGCAGATGGGTAGGGAAACTGCTGGGAATGAATGAAAGTCATGCCTCTCTCTCCTTCCCCTGCTGATGGCAGGATCCCATCCCCTCCCATTATGTTCTTTATCTCCCAACTGTATTGATGTCTTGTGATATTTTTTATCACAATATTTTAAGAACCACCCTGTTCTGTCCATCCAGGCAGCTACTGCAGGTCCACAGCATCCTCCTACATGGTAACTGTGACTGCCTGACACGTAGCCCTCCTAACACCTTCCCCACTCTATAACAAACCTAGTTGCTGAGGTAGTCTCCCTGGACCATTGCAGAGATCCCATCAGCCTGGTTTTGAGTCATTCCACTGCCTCCAGCACCTTGAAACACAAGGTTTTTATTCTCTCACAAGCCTTCACTCCTCTGCCTTGTCCTGCTTGGTCCTGCCTGCCAGACCTGCATGCAGACGTTTTCTCTCCACTGCTGTGGGTCCACCAGGACACCCTTCTGTTTCACAACTTAATTTTAAATAGACTGAAGCTTTCTCTTCATGCTAATTGTACAAGTCATCCCAGGTCTGCTCTCCCACCACCTGTAGGAAAAGGGTGTCCTTGGGATTGGGAGGAATGTGCCTTCCATTGAAATGTTTTGTCTTTATCCCTGATCTTTCAGAGGAGTTCAGAGGGGTCACCATCGTGGAGCTGATTAAGAAGGAAGGAAGTACCCTTGGGTTAACCATTTCAGGTGGCACAGACAAAGATGGGAAGCCAAGAGTCTCCAATCTGAGGCCAGGAGGACTGGCTGCAAGGTGAGAAATGGAAATGGGGTGCAGAGAGCACAGTAAAACTGGAGAGGAATAGTTGCATGTTCTAGCTACTGAATGAATATAGCTGTAATTAAAATAGTTGGCACCTGACTCCCTTTTTTAAAGTGCCCCAGAATGCAAAGTTGTTGCTTCAGTAAGTAGAACGTCTTCTATTGTGAGTTATTTCCCATGCTCTGTGCAATTTTGCTCTGAAATTTTGTATAGGGATATTTGGGATTCTGTGAAATTAGGCAGCCTTGTCAGGAGAGCTGCATGGTACAATACATCTTGATCAAGTTAAGTGGTTTAATATTGTATCTGTTCTGAATACTGAGTGTGTAAGTAACGTTATTGGCTCAGAAAAGGAATGGGAAAAAGAAAGGCTCCAAGAAGCAGAGAAAGGGAAGGAGTAATTGAACAAGTTTGCAGAAAACAGGCAAAAAGAAAGATGTTTTCTTTTTCCCTGCTGGATTTTTTTTTTTCAGACAGCTTTTGGTGTGCTTCTCTTTGACTGATTGCTCTACATGAATGGGAACTGAGCAACAAAAAGAGAGGTTGTGAACACATAGACTGTGATTGTTGCTATATGTACACATCTGAATGCTTGCCACTGGGAAAGACAGATGGCTTTGATTTTAGCACTTCCTTCTGGTAGCAGGCACACACAATCAGACAGCTAAGATCAGCTCAGCTTTGGTGGCTTGTTCAGAAAGTCCTCCAGTGACCAAAGGTTTCCCAGGCATGTCCAGGCTGAGTGTAGCAGAGACTTTGTGCTACCACTGCTTTTTTTTTTTCCCTTTATTTGCAGAAGTGACCAGCTGAACGTCGGAGATTACATCAAGTCGGTGAATGGCATTAACCTGACCAAGCTGCGGCATGACGAGATCATAAGCCTGCTGAAAAACGTGGGCGAAAGGGTAGTGCTGGAAGTAGAGTACGAGCTTCCGCCAGCCGGTGGGTGCATCTCTGATAACGCTACTCTCTTTTCTTGGCTGCTTTTTGTCCTGGGGTACAGCTGGGCTTGCTTGTGCATTAGCCGTCGTGGCCAAGGCAGTATCCAGGGGCATTTTGACGTTCTGCCTTCATCTGCTCGCAGCGCCGCGGTGGATGCTGCAGAGCTGTGTGCAGTCAGAGCAGAGCGCTTTTTCCAGCACAGTGGGTGCCTGTTCATGCACACCGGCGGGAGATGGCTGATTAGGTCTGTCTTGCCTCGGAGTGACTCGGTTGCACAGGCCAATCTGCCTCCTGATGCTGCTTCAGCTTGTTTTTCTTTTTCCCTTTTAGAGTGTGGCTACGGGAGTTTTTATTCAGTCTTAAGCATGTATTGCCAGATCCTCTTTTCTGAACTGTGGCAAGTGCTGTTATTCCTCAAGTTGCTTTGAAATGTTACGTGTTTTCAGAAAGGACGCTGAAACAATCTGCTTTCCAGCTAAGGGGCCCTGGCAGAAGCTGGCAAGCCCAACTCATGTTAACAGGGCTTGTGTCCTGATGTGGGAGGCTATGTGCTGTTGCCCTCATTTGTTTGTTCTGATTAAAACAAATTCCTCAGTACAGTTTCTCATCACCGTCTTTCCATTGTGAAATGATCTCCCCAGTTATTACTCATTCAGTTACCCAAATCAATCAGAGAATGATTGGGCAGAAGAAATAGAACAACTAAAAATAAGACGACAGGAGAAACAAAACTAATGAAATCTGAACATTTTGTGCCAGATAGGAAGCTATTTTACACTTCATAGCTTTGGTATAGCTGCTGCCTTTACATGAAAAGTATTGAACATATAAATGACCGTATAAAGCCCTAAGAAAAAATATATAACCTGAATTAGCTGAACCTCTATCCATTATCCCCCTCTGTTCTGCTGTAAACGTTAGTTAGCTTTTGCATACAACCCTAGTAAACCAAACTGTGTCTCAAGTTTTCCATGTTCTCATGCACACTAGAGATGACAACTCTTAACCTTTTTCCCTAGCTGTGAGTCTGGCTGTCAGGAATCTGATAAGCTGTACTTACTAGCTAAGCAGCAGTGCCAATACTGCACGGCTCAATCAATAGCAGCAATGCAAAATGTCCTCACCTCTGAATGAGCAGGAAGAGCACACTGAAATAGTGACTTCTCTCCAATGAGATTATTGATGCTGTTTATGACTAATCCAAACAAAGAGGCACTGCAAAATACAGGGACTTGTCAATTATTGCCTTGCTCCAGTTCATTGTGGGCTTTTATCTGCAGTGAGGGTTTGTTATTGCTGTGTGCGCCTGCCTCTTTCTCTTTCTTTCTCTTTCTTTCTCTTTCCCTGGGCAAAGAGCAGAAATATAGTGCAATTCAATAACTTGTGCTTGTGGGTTTGAATTTTTCTCCCCACTCTGTAATTTCCTGCTTTGGAAGAGACCTTGCAAATCCAAGTCTAGTTTTCAGGCCACTGTGTCATATCATCTCTTTCATAAATAAACCAAACCCTGCGTTAACACTAGGTTAGGTTTCCCCGCTCCCCATGGTCTTACGAAAGGCTGTTGCAGAACTTCATGCTTGGATGCTTAGACAGAAATTGGATGGTTTCTGAACTCGATTGTGGATGCTTTATACCCTTTTCTTGATGTGTGAGTATCACCCCTTAGCTGGGAGCCTTCCTGTGCCTTGAGCTTTTCCCTTCTGCAGTATTTCCAGGCTGTGTCCCTGTTAGCAGACTGCACACAGCAGCAGGAGCAAAGTGGCTGCGTGGGGGACAGTGTTCTGGGCATTTATTTGGCCTCACTGTATCCTGGTCCCCAGGGCTGCTGGCCTGCAAGGTGGTACCATGCTGCCACTGTACGTTTTTGAGGTTAGTTTAAGGGCTAGTTTAACCCTAATTTGGGTGCAGGTTGCTAGCCCTCAGGGTGCTTGGCAGTGACGACCAATGTGGTCAGTGAGGACAGTGGGGAGATTTGCTTCGAAAACCCCACTCCTAAGCCAAGGGGAAACACTAGTGCGGACGTGCCTAGGGGAGCCTTCAGCTCCAATCTGCCAGGTTGAAGACAAGCTCTTAGTCTTTTTTCTGATTATCCTTGTGGCCATTCGTTGCCCTTGGTTTGAAGATTAGGAATTGATCTTTTCAGAGTGGACCAAGTTGAAATGCCATCTGGAGTTCTGGTTGGAGAAGACTAGGAAATTGTCCCATATTTACTGCAGCAGTTCAATAAATCATTAAATAGCAGGGGATGGCAAGGGACAGAAACAGTTTCTTTCTTTTTTTCTTTACTTTTCTACATTAAATAGTACTGTGTATTTAACATAAAATTACTGAATTGCCCCTAGGATCAGTTTAAAGGATTCACTTAATCTTTTTTTAAAGTCAAAATATGAGAGGTAAGAGGAAAAAACCCCAACCTTTTGCACTGAGGATTTGGGATTTTCATTTTCTTTAAGGTCAGCCGGTGACTTGATTCCGTACTCTGCTGCTGGTTTTTTTTTAATAAGTTTCCATCTGCAGCAGAAGCTCCTGGCTTTTGAGTAATGCTGAACGCATTAAAGCCAGCTGATAAACGAGATGGTTTTACTTGAATGTCAGAGTATTAACCAAGACAAATTTGAAGGGAGATGCACAACGCTGAGCTGGTGAAATCATCCTAAAACACAATGGTTGGCTCTGAGAAAGGTTCACACGTCCAGGTTGGGCTCTTTTTGCCTCCAAACAGGGAAGCTACAATATGGGTATTGGCCTAGACTTTCATTCCAACGCCATTTGGATGAGTTTTGGTATTGTTTTGCAGGGTGGTGTGAAAAAGGTTTATCTGGGAGTAACTGGGTCTTCCTTTCTTCCTTTAGTGCCAGAGAGCAGTGCTGGCATTATTCCCAAGACCATCGAGGTGTCCCTCTACAAGGAAGGCAACAGCTTTGGCTTCGTGCTGAGAGGTTAGTAGCTTCACCAGTGAAAAACAAAGAGGGCACGAGCACTGGCAGAGGTCATTTGGGAAGAGGGAAGAGAAAAGTAAGAAGATGAATGTCATAAACCTCAGCTGAGAAGTGAAAGCATGTCCTGGAGAGCATCCTGTGCAGCCTTCAAGGACTGCCAGCTGCCTAATCCAGGGCAGTCTTTTTCCTTTCAGGCTGTGTCAGCTGTTACATGATAAATGTCTCTCCTTTCTCAGCACTCTCATTCAGACTTTCAAACCTCCAGTGACTTACGGCTTTCCTGGTTTGATTGCAGGGGGAGCCCATGAAGACTGGCACAAGTCCAGACCGCTGGTGCTCACCTACGTGAGGCCGGGTGGCCCAGCAGACAGGTAATGCTCGTGTTGCACCTCCAACGTTTTCTTTCACAAGACAGACTGGCAGTTCTCACCGTGCTCTTGGATGAGTATCCTTCTTGTCCTCCTTGCTGGTGCCCCCCCAAGGCTTCTCATGCTGGTGGTGTGGAACGACACACGTGGTGTGGGACCTGTGGTGTGCGGGGAGGATGGCTCCGGTGCTCATAGGCTGACCCACGTGTAGGTGTTATAAGGAGAAACTCCCCTTCCAGAGGCAGCCACTTAATTAAGCCTGTGCAAATGAATAGCTGATGCTGTGTTAGAAAGCAGGAGGCAGTCTATCTCGTCTCATGCCGCTAATCTAATATGATGGGCCTCGTACTATAAATAACCCAAACTATTGTCCCAAGGAGTGTTCAATTCCTGCAGGATCAAAGTAATTGACTTTTATATATATACACACACACAAACACCCACTCAATATGTAAACGTATTAAATATATATATAAAAACATATATAGAAAAGATATCTAAATATAAACAAACACATATACGTATAAACAAAACCCCCTTTTGCCTGTGGCTTCCTACAGGGAAGGGTCCTTGAAAATTGGGGACAGGCTGCTGAGCGTTGACGGGATCCCTCTGCACAGCATGACCCACGCTGATGCCATCAACATCCTGCGGCAGTGCAGCCAGGAGGCACTCTTCCAGATCGAATACGACGTGACTATCATGGGTAAGGCCAAGATGGTTGTGGTGGCATTTTCTCTGACTGCCTGGAAAGTATGTGAGACTAGACACAGTAACTAAGGTACTTGGTTTCAGTGGAAAAACTGCTGAGCAATGCGCTGCCAACGCGGGTGTAGGGGGTAGAGTTCAAAGCTGGCTTAGTTGAATGCATTTGAAATGCCCTTATCAAATGACGTGTCTTGACGGGAATGATGACTGGTTTTAGAGGAGGGGGAAAAAAGGGATTTTCTAACATAGGCAAGGAGGGCATAGGAGAAGTCGGAGTTAAAGGGGGCTGGAGTGCTCTGCCAGCACTGCAAATAACTGCTATTCAATGTGTGCAGGGGAGTGAGCTGCAAGCAGGCAGAGACTTGATGTGGCTGTGCCTTCAGTTCTGAATTTTGACCCTGCTTAATTCTGGAGCTATTCCCTTTCTTAGAAACATTAGTTCAGATCTGCTTCTGAAATAAATGAGGGGTGATTAACTGATTGACCCCAAATAAGAGAGAATTTACTGGAGGGCAGAGGATGGGTATTTCTAAAGAGCGTTCTACAGAGTAGATATGAAGTTTGAGGGTTTAGAGGGTTGGTGGCTTTTTTTTCATTTGATTTTCAGTTTCAGGCCCTGGGAAAGGGCTTATTATTAGCTACTGTAAAGTCATTTTGAGCTGGCTTTGTGACACACAGCTGTTACTGCAGGGAGTGTCGTTAATGAATCTAAGGTTACCACAGAGTCTGAAGCTGTGTTGGTTCTGGAAGCTCATTGAGCTGTGCGTTAGATTTTGATGTTGCATATACATCTCCAGAGGGGTTTCTGCCTCCACTGGAGCCCCAGGCTGGACTAGGTTGGAGTCTTTTCCACAAACCTCGCAAACCAGTCCAGCACTTTTAAGTCTAGGATCCAGTGAGGAATAGGAGTCCGTAATATCAGGTTGTTTTCTGATTTGTCAGTGAGGAGGGAAATGAAAAGGATCTGCAGCTGAGAGAGTTTAATACCACACCACCCCCAAGGAAAGAGAGCTGAGAACGCCAGAACTCGCTCCACACAATGTGCAAGAGTGTTGTACCAGGATAAGGGAGCTACTCGTGCCAGCCCTGAGGGCTTTCGGCTTCCTTTTGCGTCTCCTTCCCCCAGGCTTTCCCCTTCCTTTCAGCAGAAACTCCACAAGCGTGGACATACGGGATCTCTCACGGGGGTGGAGGCTGCCAGGACCTGGGCAGCCATGTGCCACGCAGACACCTACTCCACTGGGAGAGTTGGAAGGAAAACCTGATGCCTCGGCAGTTGCCTGCACGCTGCCTGGCTTCTGCCGTGCTACAGGAGCAGCTTCTCTTTAGAAATTGGCTGGTATTCATGAAAAAGAGGAAACTCTTAAAAGATGGAAAACAGAAACTACCCAAACCCTATTTTCTACCTTTCTGTATGACTGTGATTGTGGTAACTCTGCGGCGGTCAGTAAGGGATGTCCGTTCCTCTCTTCACGGGCTGGCTGGGCTGGCAGCTCTGCCTGAGGAGGGGACAGGCAGAGTTAAGGAGGGATTTTGCACAGAGCTGTCAAGTCTGAACAATAGCAAACAATTAATGGTGCGTGAGAAATGGGCTTTTTGGGGGTTTTGTTGTTTGTACAGTCCCCTGGTGCCTATGTTGCAGAAAGTTGATTGTTTTAGAACCTGACTTGGAGCAAAAATAGCCATGAAGGTGTCTTGGTATTTCTTCTCGGGTAACTCTCCCACCTAAAACTGTTAGGGTTGAGTGAACAGAGAGCAATGGCAGGGTTTTATGCAGTGATTCTCCACCTTGTGTTGCTGTACAGTGGACCACAACCAGATACTTCCCAAGATGTAAAACCAGCCCCCTTCTCAGATAATTTCTGCATAGAGAGTGCTTCTCCCCAACCCTGTAAAGGGATATATTTGCCCTGCTTTCTTTTAAGGAAAGATGATGCAGAACATGTAGCTTAAAACAATCTCTGCAGACAGTTTTGTCAGGCAACAGCTAATAACTGCAATGGGAGATGAGTGTATCATCCCCAAATCAGAACTATTACAGACATTCTCTTTACCAGCCACAGGAAGATGATGAGGGAAGGGAAGAGCAGGTGTTGGAAGTAGTGTGGGGATGTTATTAGCCTGAAGAGAGCACTCTTAATTCCCATTTTGAAAACTTGGCGAAGGGGCTGGGGGGACACGTGGCCACACAGTTCACTTGATTCATTATAAGAGCTGGAGACACCACCATGAAGTGATACTTGGCCTGTTCATCCCCAGGGAAAATAAAGGTTTTTACATTGCACTAGCTGTCTGCTGCAGCTCTACATGCTGGGGTGGTGTGGGCTGACCCTCAAGGAGGGAAAGCTGTTTTTCCACATCTGCCCTTGGTGAGAGACCAAGGCTGCTGCGGGGGAGTGTTGAATCATGGCATTCCCCAGCTGGCTTCATGGTTTCCCAGCCAAAATTGTGCGCTGAGGATGAGCTGCAAGGGGCCAGCCCTGTTCTCGGTGCAAGGGACAGGGCAGCTGCTTTCCACTGCCACTGAGCATCCCCTGGCTGTTGGGCTTTCACCAGGGAGGCCAGCATAGGATGGGGCCATGGCAGGCTTTTAATCAAATGGGCTGAGATTTCTCAAGGCCACCAAAGGAATTAAATTAATCTGCCATTTCCATTTAAAAGGAGTGCGAACTGGGGGAGGCACTTCCCTTGGGCATCGGGAAAATCTCTGCCCTTTGCCGATGCCAGATAAACGTTGCAATGAACAGATGCTTTCCTGTGGCAACACTCTATCTCATCAGCCTTTTCAAAGGGGGGAAAAAGAAAAAAAAAAAACCAACAAATAAACTGATCAGCCAGAAACCGGTGCCATTTGAATAGTTATTCTGTAAATAAGCTGTGTGTGTCATGACACGAGGCTGGGCTGCAAGTCTTTAGGGTTGACTCATGGAGGGGGGAAGCTCTCTGCCAGAGATGACGAATGAGCAAAGCAATTTGCTGTGTCCTTGTCCTCCGCTCCCTTCCCCTGGCTGCCCCTCCGCCCATTCATTTTTAGGCTGAAGATTTTAAGGCCTATGGGGCTCTCCTGCTGATGGATTGCAGGGCTGGTAGCATCCCACAAACGGCATCTGCTGAGCGGTGGCAGTGGGTAGGGCCTGAAGAGGGGCCCATGAAGTCAAATGCTTCCATGTGCCTGTGAAGCTGGAGGGATCACGAACCGCTGGGCTGTGTCAGGAAGGGGGCAGCTCCCTGGTTTGCTTCTTCCTTTTTCCTTTTTCCTTTTTTCCTTTTTCCTTTTTATTTCTCCATTTTCCTTTTTCCTTTCTCCTTTTTCCTTTCTCCTTTTTCCTTTCTCCTTTTTCCTTTCTCCTTTCTCTTTCTTCCTTTCTCCTTTCCCCCTTTCCCTCCTCTCCCCCAAAATGCATTACAGCAGGAAAAAAATCATCCCTACCGGCACACCTCACTTATTCCCCAGGCAAGTGCTCATAACATTTTCCACCCTGGTTACAAAAGCCAACCTTCCTTAGGGAGGCGAGCAAAGCCAGGTGAGGCTCAAGGAAACCTGGTGCAAGAAGGAAAAAACCCCACACTATTTCCTCCAAAATAAGCTGCTGAGAGAAAGGTCCTTAAGAAAACACTTGTCATCCCCCAGCTTTGAGTGGTGGGGTAGCCAGCTCTCCTGTACCTTCAGCACTGGCGTGTCTGACTACCTGGAGCAGACTCTGTTTCCCTTGTATCTGTCGTGATAACGGTGAGTACCCCTCAAGCATATGGGTATGAGCAGGTTTTGCACAGTCCTTTGTGTCCTCCTGGCATGAGCCAGGTGGACAGAGCGATGGGATTTGCTGTACTTGAGCACGTTTCGGTAGGCTTTCCTCCTGTTTTGGTGGAGGAGGTTAGAGGGTTGATTAGACCTGTAGTGAGTCACCTGGTGGCTGCTGATTTTCCACCTGAATGTTTTGAAATGGCTAGAATTTGGGTTTGGAAGGAAAAATGCGGGCAGGATTTGGGGGCAGATGTTAACTGATTCAGGCTAGAGCTGCTGATACTGAATTTTAACAGGGTACTATCCAATTCATTTATCCTATTAATTTAGTCAATGTCACCTAAAAAGAGCAGATGTCTTCAAAAAAGTGGAAGGCTTAAGGGTTTATTTGGTTACTAAAACTATTGTTTCTGAAGGTGGATGAAGATTCCCCCCAGCAATGTTAGGAGATGTAAAATTATTCATTCAGCAAAGGGGAATGGGACTTCTGGACCCTGTCTGACTATCCACTAAACAAGCATGTATTTTTTGGACAAGTTGTGTGACAGCTGTGCCTCAGTTTCCCAATCTGTAAAATGGTACCGTGCTCCTCTGGGAAGCACAATTCATTGCTTGCAAAACACTTTCAAACCCTTACATGAAAATCTGCACAGCCATGCAAGGCAGTGTATGTATACGGGTTTTTCTGTTCCTTGGTAACAAAACCCTAGAGAAATTATGCAAGCTGCTGTATCCGTATTAAACTTGGTGTCACTGGCCTCAGTGATCCTTGTTCTGCAACAGTGTGATTTTTGGCCCTCAGTACATGCTGAGCAGCATTTGAATTAAATATCTTGTGAATGCTGAGCCTCTAGAACAACTGCATAGACTCTCTTGGCTTGTGAGAAAGGATCTTGCTTTAAGTAAGGTGAGATTTGCTGTGAAATGCAGGAGCTGTGGATGTCTTTTCCACAGATGCTGGGTGAGGTTGCAGCTGTGCGTGATGGTGCAGAAATACCTTGTGGTGCCAAAGCAGCAATGCCAATTGACTCCCTACAGTAAGGTTATTGCACGGCCTGCCCTGGCCTCTCCGTGTTTCTTTTTAAAGTACCTTGGGTGTAATAGCCCCATGTTAATCGTGCCTCACAAATATTGCTAAATTGCAGACTCCTGACCTTTGATTTGAGCTAAATCTTTCCCTAGAATACTTAATAGATGCTTGTGGTATTTCCTCAACACATACCTCTATAAAATGGATTTGGAGCAATTCTCATTATGCCACTGGAGATGAGAATTAAAAGGGACAGTGGGGTGGCCCATGCTGTGTGCGGTAGGAGAAGGGACTGTGGGCTGGAGACAGGACTGTGATTTCCTACAGTCTTATTGATCACCTAGGTCCTGGCATGGAAGTAGGTACCCAAAGCTCGCTCTTCTCACCGTCATGCTGAGACCTCCCTGCGAAACACTTGGCAAAGCCAAGAAGCTTGGATGCTGGGTAAAACTGAGAGGAGTAGGTATTTTCTTTGCAAAGAAAGGTCTACCACTCCAGCAAGGTTTTTTTCATGATTTTTTTTTTTTTCCTATCTCCTTCCCTTCAGCTGGAGGAATATAAGTCTGTGTCCCTCTTCAGAGGATATGTGCTAGACACACAGGCTGCAAAACCAGCATATAGCTGGTGTTTGCTGTTGGAAGAGATCCTCGGTCTCGTGGTGCTTCCTTTGCTAACGAAGGCTTACGTGCACCTTCCGCAGACTTTAGCTGGGCGCTTTGTGCATCTTTTGATTGAACTGGGACTGTGCTTTTTGCCAGGGCCTGCAGATCTCCCCAGTGGTCCTTTTCAACAGAGAATAAACAATGTTTTATTTGACTCCTGCATAACCTTTAACATGGCTCATTCCTCCTCCTTCCTCTCCTGGGAAAAAGGGCACTGTGAGTAGACCAGAACCTGAACATCAATTTCCAAGGGAAATTTCTGTCTCCAGAGACTCAGCATCTTCAACAAATCTCAGGAAAGACCTCGCTGCGGCTTAGCTTCTGAGATCTGCATTAATGCTCCTGTTTATCAGAGAGCAAGAATGAGCCATGCATCAAGTTTTGGAGCCAAGTGGCATCAGCATTTTTAGTGGAGCACAGCCTTGGAAGAGAAAAGCCTTACTATGAATAATTAAGGGCTGAGGAGGCATCAAGCTCTCAGAGGGCTCTGCTGGCCTTTCCTTCGAAGTGGATGACTGGGTTTCCATGAAGTGCTTTTGTGGGGAGTCAAACTACACGTGGGGTGCTGGTTGTGGGGTGTCTGGTGGTGATAACACGTTCTTGAATCCAGCCTCTTTATGATGGCTTTAGGTAATGTGGAAGCAAATGTGTGTAATAGAAGTGGAGGGAATTTCTGTCTAATCAGCCAGAGACACAGGCTTTCTTTTTCCTCCCCCTTCCTCAGAAGAGATGAATAGGTATGGTGCAGGCTTATGCTAACAGGTGCAATTTTGTAGGAGTTTCATCGTCTCACTTACAGCACCTATTAAGCTTATTGCAGAAATGCATCTTTTAAACATGAGTTACCCCTGTATTGTCTGATGGGAGAGAGGAAGCTTTTGTAAGCATGTGGGTAGGTAGCATTGTGTCTCTGATCCCACTGTCACACTAGAGGAGCTGAAACGAGCAATTGAGGTGATATTTTGAAGCTGGTACTGAAGCATACAGGAGTTGACTGACTTGTGTGCAGGTCATCAGCACACAAGACTTCTGAGTACTTCAGAAAGTGGGATCCTGTTTCTTTGTGCCTTTTTTGTTTGTTTGGGAAGAAGCCTATAACAGTGATGTCCTTCTGATCTTCCTTTTTTGTGCTTTAATACTGTTGATGTGACTGCTGCACAGCCTTTGAGCAATCTCTTCCTCGATCTTGCTATTTAACCCCAAGAAAACGGGGGGATGAGGGGGGCAAGGGCAGGTTCCCTGAGTGAATTGTTGTAATATCTCTTCACTTCATTATGGTATGTATTTTGTATGGAAGCAATCTGCTTCTTGAGTTTACTTCTTTGTTAAGTTACCACGGGATACAGATGGTAGGATGTCCAAACTACAGGTTTGCTGATAAATGTGGCAAGTCAGCACTATTGGCCAACCCCTTGCATTTAGAAATGGAAAAGGCTGAATGAGAAGTGTCTTCAGATGCTCTCTTGTTTTCCAGATACTGTAGCAAATGCTTCAGGTCCTTTACTAGTTGAAATAGCAAAGACTCCGGGCTCCACGCTAGGAATCACACTGACAACAACCATGCACCGAAACAAGCAGGTCATCGTCATCGACAAGATCAAGCCAGCCAGCGTGGTGGACAGGTACAGATCTGAACAGACTGCTCCTAGCTCTGCTTTACCTTTCTCTGCTGCTTTTTTGTCCCTTTGTTAGTTATATACCATTCTTCCCTGCCTTGCCTTGAAATGGCCATGTCCACATGTTCTTAGCACTAAGCGTGCTAAAAATATCTGACCCAACACCTGTGGACACTCCTCACCGGGAATGAATGTAACTCAGTGCATGTGAAAGCTGAGCTCTGTTTTAAAAACCTCAGATCTGACTGCCCTGGAGCTGTGGAATGGCAAAAACCTATTCTGGAAACTTCTGGCTAAAGCCTTTTCCTGATGGGCAAGTCAGCTAATCACCCTTTACATGGGGATGCAGGACAGACTGTTATGCAGCCCTAGCTGTGGTTAGTCGTGTTGCCGAGCTGAACTGCTGGCTCATAGGAGTTAACTACGCTTGCTGGATGAGCCCTCAGCCATCCAGACTAGCTATGAGCGGGCACTATTAAAAACTTAAAAGATCTTTCCCAAGCCACCAGCAGCACTGATTCAAGCATGAACCATCTTAGTTGGTATTTTGGGCAACGCTTGAACCTAAGGTTCAAATTGGAAGTAAAAAAATGAGATAGGAAAAAAAATTCACATGAATTCCAACAATAATTCACAGTTGGATTTTATATGTGTTTGCTCCCAACTGTAAGGACATGGATTTTGGCTATGTGTATAATTACCTCTTTTGCTGTTTCCTTTGCAGATGTGGTGCGTTGCACGTTGGCGACCATATTCTCTCCATTGATGGCACAAGCACAGAGCACTGCTCCTTATTAGAGGCAACTCAGCTTTTAGCTGCCACTTCGGAAAATGTCAAGCTAGAGATATTACCTGTTCACCAAAGCAGGCTGCCTTTGAAGCCTCCAGACACAGGTGTGTCCTCTGTGCAAACACTGTTGGTTGCCCTCAAAACTTACTTGAGGTCCCTGCTGGGGTTCTTGCTGCTTTTGAATGCTGGTAACGGACTCCAAAGAGAGACATCTGTGGAGGGGGGAAAAAAAAAAAAAAAAAAAAGATGTTTTGATGAAATGCATGTGATTAGATGACGTTCTTCAAGGATGTGAATAGGAAAAAAAGGCAACATCTGTGCTTGAATGGGGAAATTGGAGTTGGGAATCCCAGGGTTTTGCAGTGCTGAGTGCTGTGCAGTCCGCTTCCTTAGTACCTCAGATAAGAGACTTTAATGGAGAGGGAGGAAAACAACCTTGGTGCTGGCAAATGTCTTTCCAAGCTCAGTTTTCATTTGCTGATGCCTAGTAAGGCTTTGTAAAGGACATGTCAGTAGCTAGGCAAGGTCCTGCTGGACTTCCTTAGGAAACAAAGCTGTAACATATGTGTTCATCTTCTAGACGAGCTTGTTTGAATGGCAGCTGCGTCTGAGCAGCCAGGGGTAGAGTGAATGCATCTGTAGCTGCTGCTTTCCACCACCCCCACCAAAGAAATATTGGGGAAAAAAATTCTGGCTCCAGTGAAATCAAGCCCCAAATACCTGTAAACGTCGTTAGTAATTCACCCTGGTGAGCATCCTTGTTGCCCACCTTCAGTTTCTCCTTCCGTTGAGAGGCTGACTCAGGCTTTCATATAAACTTCATTGTGAACATAGCCTCAGTACTAGCAGATTTGTTGCAACTCTGGCCTCCAGTTCTGTTACAGTCTGTACTGGTGGTCTTGTAATTCAGGTGTTTCAGGCGTGACTGTTCAGTACCAGCCCCTTTTGCAACCATTTTCAATCATTTGTCTCTCAGGGACATGCATTTTAATAATATTGGTGCACAGTAGCCCTGGGCACAGCTCTTCTTTCCATTCTCTTCTATGGCAGTTTGGGGAAAGGAGGTAAATGTCTGTGTTGTCTTCTTTAACATGATGCAGTGAAACATAAAATCTAATAACATCTTTATGTCTAGAAATAAATCTCTTACACGCCCAGTCCAATTTGTGCAGAATTAAAGCAGTTTAACGAAGGGGATGGATGTCTTGACCTTTGTGCCCAAGAAAAAATGGAAAGCTATAATCCTTTTTCAATGGCTGTTAAAAAGAACTATTCTCCTCCTCCCATTAGTGCCCTGGTCCTAATCTTCTTTCAGAATATATGCATTCAGCAGCAGCTCAGGAGAAGGAGGATCTGTGGAAGGACAACTTGGCGTGTTCAGAGCCTTCTTACCCAAACCTCCATACATCAGATCAGTTTCCTGTGGCAGAAATACAGAACACAAACTTGGGAGAATAATTGCAACACATGAATATGAAAAATAAGGATATAACAATTGTTCCCATTTTTGATTAAATTCTTTTAACACGTGAGGGATCATAGGGAAGGATGCTGCTCATCCACATGGCTGTTAGGAGGCAGAGGTGTGTGGTAGGGACCAGTGCTTGGGCTTGAACCTTCAACAGTGCTGATGGAGGTGGTGGGGAGAGGAAGGGGAGCACTTTGGGCAAGAGGAGCAGCTCACAAAGCAGTGCTCCTCGGTGGTGTAGTCAGCCACGGCACCGTGCAGCCCATGGTGAGCAGCCGAGGAACAGCAGCAAAGTTGACAAACTGCCTTTGGACCTGGGAGAGACTCTGCCTTCTGCTGCAGACGCCAAGTGCCAGCACCACAGGCTGCTTTTTCTGAGTTTAGGGAAACAAACAGGGGCTGTAGGGAAAAATGGGCCATGCAAAAGCAAACTGTCGTGGCTGGCAAGAGAGTGAAGCCCAGGGAAAGCAGCTGAGGAGAGGAGACCATGCAGACACATATCCCCGTTCAGCACTTGGATTACCGAGTCCTTCCAGTGTGTGCCTGCATAGGGCTTGTCGTTCTATTTTTTAAAAGTGGCTTCTCATGCAATCAAAATCCAGTTATTGAGGAGGTGGAGAGGGATCTGAAGCTGCAGCGGCCACGCAAAAATAGTCTAATGCTGAAGCACGGGATTTGTCAAACTGAGTTCACTTTCTCTGTGGCTCTGGGGGCATTTGGAGAGTTTGTGGGAGGATTACGCCCTGCTCACAAGATCAACGGGAGTGGATGCTGCCCAGGAGCAGTGCTGGGATGGATGGGTTTCCTCAGGCAGAGATGATGTGCGAAAGCTTGGGGAAGGGTGTTGTAGGTTTTTATCACAGAATTGTCCAAAATCTCTTCTCTTCCCCAGTGCACTGACAGCTGAGTTTCAAAGGCACTTTTTTCTGTTGTCAGATATGAGCTAAGAATTTATAGACAAATGGGAGAGGTTTAATTACTATAAATGGATTAAATGATTTTTTTATATATGCCCATAAGCTCTGTCCCTCATGGACAAAGTGTTTAATTTTGTTAAGAACTTTCCTTTTTGTCTAGCTATAGCTACATTTATTAATTTGATTTTTGTTTTTGAAAGCTGCCTGGCTCTGAATTTGCTTTTGAATCCACAAAATAGAAACCCCAGAGCTGGAAGTGCATTTTGTAAGAGCTTGATAGACTAAGCGCTACACTCACTAAATGTTTACCAAAGACTAAATATAATCACTATATTGGTTGGAAAACCTGACCTAAATGATTTGATGCCTGTGATGCACGCACACAAAATGGATTTCCACTGTTAAAGGCACTAACCAGATGACCTTTAGATGAGATCTCTGGGTGGACTCACTAAATAAACTCGAGTCCCTGTCCCAGGTTTGCACTCTCAGAAAGCTCTGGTAGTACCAGTGCTGGCAGCATTTCTGCCTACTTGGAGGACACAGAGACTGGAGGGGATCTCACCCTGGGAAGGGAGTTGCCAGCCAGTGCAAGCGGTTGTGAGTTAAGAGCTCTGGGATAACTCGTGGCTGCAGTGATGCTCCGCTGTGGGACGCTGTTCATGCTTAGCTGAATAAAACAGATGCTTGCAATCTTGCTCGTTAGCCAGAAATTCCTCTCGAAAGAAAATAGATCTAGACAGCATGGTGCAGAGATTTGGGAGAAGAAACCCAGTGCTGTTGGGCAAGGAAAACCAAACTGACCCTGTGCTGCCCAGGGGCAAAAGGAGCGTCAGTGAGAACAGACAAGGGACCTGTGCCTGGGGGGTGTTTGAGGCACTTCAGAGGAGACTTGTGGCATTGTGACTTGATGTCGCAAAGCCACATTTCCTGGGACAAGGGATTTCCAGATGATGGATGTCACGCTGCAACAGATTTCTGCCAGCATGTGCTAGGCTGGGGTTAGGGCTGAAGCTAAAGTGGTTGTGTGCCCTTGAACAGAGTCTGCCATTTTGGTGCCATGTTTTACTTTACTGCTTGCCACAGCGTTGGCATCTTTTCCTGGTCAGTGGCCCTCTGTAATTGCCTTTAAGCAGCAGTGTATAAAATCCTTTTGTTCTGGTGAGCTGGAGGTGGCCCTCTGCTACTCCTCTCTTTCATCCATACGTGCATTCCCAGCCAAGAGCAGCCGCTAAACAACCAAATGCTGAAGTCAAGCGGAGTGCTCAAAGCAGTCCTTGGCATGTGCGGACGGCGTTGAGCCTTGTCCCCAGGAGGGCAGCTCCGGCAGCAAGGTGGGAAAACAGCACAGGGAGGTTTTCCCAGTGCTGTCGGATAATGCTGATGGCCTCTGCGGGAGACTCATGGCTGGAGGGACCTTCTGCACGTTGCACAACAGTCTGCAAATGGTAATGACATCTGTGTGCTGCCAGCACAGCTTAGTCAGGCCGTAGGCTCAGGAATGTTTTTTTTATGGGGAAGAGGGGGATTTCTGCCACTTCGTATCAAGTGTCATGAAGTTACGTGGGGGTGCGTTTTCGCTGTTGGTACTTGACACACTGTGGTTGGGTCCTGACTCCTTCAGAGCCGGTATGAGGCTCTTTTCTACAATCTCCTGGCTTATGCTTCTTACCTTTTCTTTCTCTCACTTCTCCTCCCTGCCTGTGGTGATTTCTGCTCCCCTCGGTGCCATCAGTCAAGGTGCAGAAGAGTGACCACCACCACTGCTGGGACCCCTGTGTCAACTACTGTCACACTCACCACCCCGGGCACTGCAAGACACCCACCTGGAACCAGACGTCTGGACAGGATTACTGCAAATGTAACCTCAGTGCATGGCGTTGCCCCCATCCCTGCACGTGTTCGTTCATGTTGTGCCCCTCCATTTCCTTAATACCCAACTCCGTAGCCTGGCTTGTCACTCGTTTCATCCTCGGTCACTTGGGTCTGTTTCCACAGGTCCAGTGCTGAGGTACAAAATCAGTATCTGCAGCCCGGTATACACAGATCTGGTAATTGCAACAAGAGCAGTGTGCTGGGCAGACCCATCCTCTAACCCCATACCCCAGCGCCTGGTTTCACGTGGCAAAAATGAGTTGCTGTGGGACAAGAAGGGCATCTCTGGTGACGTGTAGGAACGTGATATGACAATGCATCCAGCTCAGCCCTGGTGGCACACAGCATGTTAGCAGCAGGATTATGGCTGCTTCAAAATCTGTAAACTCACCTCTTGCAGGAAGCAGGCTCTGTGCAGCCCCAGGTTTCTTGTCTTATGGCAGTAAGATAGGAGGAGGAAACATTGCCTTGTGTCTGAACTGTGGGAAGCAAACAGGGCAGCCCAGTTGCCCACAAGCTCAAGTTCAAGCTGTGGTTTCTCTTTGTATGTATTTAAGGTTCATTAGTGCCATCGTGCCAACCTGCTGTTGACTGCCCTGCATCCGTGGTGCATTTCTCACCTAGTGGCGTGGATGTTGCAGTGACAGGCAGCCCAGTCACTGGAGTCACTGCACATCGGAAAGCAATGTCCATCTGGAGTCCAAGCCCACTCTGACAGCTCTCCTGGAGCTGCAAGCCCAGGATGAGGTTCTTGCCTTGTCTTGAGGCCTGGAGCTGGGAAGAAGGAGCTAGTCCGAACCCATTAGGTGTTTGATGAACATGTGTTAGGTGAACCCACCGCTGCGCTTCTCTGTGCACTTCCTTAACATGCTCTGTATTTCCCCAGCTCTGGTGGCTGCCAACTTCTCATCTCCTACCATGAACGCGCAGGGCTTCCCCTGCCAGAACTCGAACACGCTACCTCGCAGCTCCCACCCCATGAGCCCCCGCACCACCATGCTGAGGAGGAGGCAGAAGAAGAAGGAGCACAAGAGCTCACGTAAGAGTGGCGGTGGGCTGCGGCTGGGTTCGACGGGGCGTGCATGCTTGCCTTGCTGTCCTTACTGTTGACTGTTAGCTGGGGTAGGACTGCTCATCTCAGCACTGTCAGTGCCTCCCTCATCCTCGGTCACTCTCCCCACCACTGCCAGACCAAGGTCTGTGACCAGATCTGCTACGTTGACCGTGGCTACCCTGACCTTCTGCCTCTCTCCTCCTCTCAGTGTCGCTGGCCTCCAGCACGGTGGGTCCTGGTGGGCAGATAGTCCACACGGAGACGACAGAGGTGGTGCTCAGGGGAGACCCTTTGAATGGCTTCGGACTTCAGCTCCAGGGAGGCATCTTTGCTACCGAAACTCTCTCTTCCCCGCCTCTCGTCCGTTTTATTGAGCCCGACAGCCCGGCAGAGAGGTTAGAGACCTTGCCCTTGGATGCTGATGGTGCTGGCTGCTGAACATTTCATGGTTTGGTTTGTTTTCTCTCCTCAGAGGCTCATTTAGATATTTACTATCATCCTTGTAATATCTCCCATTCTTCACTGGGCATGGTTTACTGTCACTGCCATTTCTGCACTCGTCGGCTGACCGCGGCCTCCCTCGCATCCCAGGTGAACGTCTTGGCACCAGGCTGCGGCTCTTCTGGGAGGAGGAAGGGAGCGTGTGTCTGTGTGAGAGTGCCATTCCCATTCCTTTTTATTTTTTTTCTTTCTCTTTGAAAGATAAATCTTTTGTCTGGGTGCAGAAAGGGGAAAGATCTAAACAAGTGGGCCCAGCGAAGTGTTTTCTGCCTGGTTTCGTTGTAGCAGAGCCCAGCTATACAAATTGGCACTAAAGCCAAGGTTTTGAACCACAGAGGGGAGGGCTCTGGTTGAGGAGCAGGTAGGCGCTGCCTTTAAGCACTCTTGCTTTTGGCTCTCTAATGTTGGGAAAAGAGCAGAATGGAGGAGCAGCATTAACTGCTGTGTGTCACCCCCTGGGGATACTGGGAGCCATAATTTCTCCAGCAGCCGAGCCTCAGCTCAGGAGATCAGGCTGCTCTGGCCAAACTTTTCCAAATACCCCTTGCTGGCTGGATTTAGAGTCTGCTCGAGTGCCTGTGCACTACAATGTAGGTACCCTCTAGCAAGGGTTTTTTTACTAAATGGGCCAGGTCCCAGCATGGCTTGAGCTCTTGTGGGGTGGAAAGGAGAACTGGTTTCGTTAAGCAGATGAAATAGAGAGGTGAGTGAGCTGGCACTTATGCCCCCGTGCTGGTTTCTCTTCCCACCTGTAATTTCCACCAGTGGTCTGTCCTGCGCAGGGGTGCCAGAGGTGCAATGACGTGGCAGTGCTCAGCGCCTGCTGCAGACCCTTCCTTGGGAGGAGAAGTCTCTGAGGGCCCCATCAGCATGCGCTGATGGTTTGGTGTCCCCAAGCCAGCCTGGAGAACAGCACACAGGGGAGTTGTATGGCAGGGAAAGCATCTGCAAAAGGAAACGCAAGTCATTGCTGGGCAGACCGGTCTCTGTGTGGTAGCTTCTCCAGGTGGCTGATGCAGAGGCAAGGTGGAGCACAAGTGCCTGGTGCTTGTGTCTCTGGGAGGACAGGCACAAGGGACTGGCACAGGAAAAAGAGTTGTCCTGACTGATGCAGGTTAAGAGAGATTTCAAAAGCCTTTTATGCCTTTTTGTTTGTTTGTTTCCAAACAGTGTTTAAAAATGAAGGTGATGGTGTTTGGGGTTTTTTATCCTCTATTACCAGGGTGAACTTGGCTCACATTGCAAAGCACCAAACTCCTTTTATAAATCAGGCAGCAACAAAGCCTGCTGTCCCAGGGGACGAGGGAGATGTGCTGAAATCCGCCTGGCTTTGCTTTATCCTCTTGCCAAGCCTGGAGCGAAAGCAAAAGCTTGCGGTGCAGTCTTGCTTGGCTCTAATGTGTCACGCACGCTGCTCTTCCTCTCAGCTGCCCACCCAGCAGGATTCGCGCTCTCCTGGTTGCTGCTTTCTGGTAACAGGGAGCAATCCTCTCTGCCTTTGCAGCCTGGATTTGATTTGGGGATTAAATCTCTGTGGTGTATTTCTTCCTTTCTTAGACCGTGCTGCTCTTCCTAGCTGGCAGGAAAACACTGTCTTTCCTCCCTATCTTGAAGTGATAAGTGCACTGGGTTTGCAGTGAGGTGAAAAAGGCAGTTTTATGTTTTCATTTCACTTTTTGTTTCTTGCTCTCCCACAGAGCTTGTTTGCTCCATCCTTCCTAGATACCTTACTCCCTGCCCTTGAAAGGTTCTGCTGTAACTGCAGCCCAAGACATTAGAGCCATTTCTCTCCCCTTTACCAAGCTGGGCTCTTGGCTGAGGCTGGGCTATGCTCTTTCTTGGGCTGCACTTGTTGCTCTTTGCATAAGAGGGTGAACAGTGGGGATACAGGGATCAGGCTTAGCAGCCTGGGTCTGTCCTGCATGTTCACACACTCCTGTGCAAGACCTGTGAATCTGGACGTCCTGTTGTACAAGTGCATGATCCACAGTCGCTTTGTCCATCTGACTTACTGTGGAGGAGCTGCAACTTGGGTGTGGAGCAAGTTTGAGTACTACCAGGGAGGAGGATGACATCACCCTCTTTTCAGGGATGTCGGGCTGCCTCATATTTGTTATCTGCTTCATGCTAGCATGTGGCAGGTGGTTTGAAGCAAAAGCTCTCACCTGCCTGACTCGTGATTTGTTTTACAGCCGGTAGTCTCTAAGAGACCTCCCTCCCCACCTGTTGTTTTGTTTCCTGGGTGCAAGACAAAGCTTTTGGGCTCCAAATGAGACAGTGATTCAGCCCCTGTTATCAGCAGGGAGGGTGGAATAGGAAGATGCCTGATGTCCCCTCTTGGCTGCCTTGAAACACACAGCTTTTGTGTCCTTCCTCCCCCAGCTGTCATTGACAGCAGTGGGAGAGTATCTGGCTTCTCCATCCCAGTATCCAAAATCAATGCTTCCTGCTGAGTTACATGTTTTCTAGCTCTGCTCAGACACAGTTGTTTGATCATTGTGTTTCTGGCTTTTGAGTATGAGTAGTTTGCAAAACGAGAGTTTAGCAGCTGAGTGAAGCTGTCAGCAAAGCTTTGATCTTTTGGGGGCTGGGACCCACCCGCCAATGTGCACACACAGATGTGCACGTCTGACCTGTGCAGGCCAACTCGGGGGCATGTAAGGTCACAACAGATCGGTTTCTGCAGCCGGCGATGTGGCCATGGTCACAGCTGCTGCCGCTCACCCCACAGCTGGAGTGACCACGCAGATGCTGCTGCTGCTGAGTGAGATCTTCAGTGCATATCCTGCCCAAGGCTTGAATATGCACTGCGCTGTGTCTAGCAAGACACCTCTGCTGCTGTGTTGCTGTCTGAGCCCAAGGAATGTGTCATGACAAAATGCAAATCTCTGCAACCCCAGAGAGACATTCCCTTCATGGACTCCAACACATCCATAGGGCTGTCTTTCACTCCAGGAGATGCCTGTACTCTTGTTCTTTCTGATTTTAAAGCACTTCTCCTCCCATGATCTCAAAGCACTTTGTGAGCTCTGACGTTAGACTGCGCATCTCTGAGACAAATCTTTGGGAAAGCTGCCCAAAAGGTTTGTGTAGGATGCCACAGCAGAGCCAAGGAGAGGTCTGCAGGAGCCTTGGCTCCCCAGGCCCAGCTCCCAACGCAAGGGCACCTGACACCTGGAAACTGGTGTCTCTGGAATTGTTTTGAAGGGTTAACAAGGCACATCGGGTCTCCTTGCACTCGTGGAGAGCCAGAATGTTGTGGCTTCACTCCACAAACTTTTATAAACCTGCAAGACCAGGGCTTAAACAATAGTGATTGACTGAGGCTAATAGTAAAAGAAATAAAATATTTCTGACATAACAGAGCTATTTGCTGTGAAACACCCAGGCAAATCTACCTTGAGTGAAGAAACACAAGAAACAGTTGTTCTGTGAGAAGGCAGCTCTGGTGGGAAAGGTGGCAAATGTTTGCTTTCATGCTGTGTAAAAGTATCCTGTGATCTCGCAGCCCTTGCAGCTGAAACAGGGGTGCCAAAATGGATTGAGTCCTTGTATGACCTTGAAATGACAGTCATGTCTGTGTGATGCAGATGTTGATCCCTCCTTTCTGAAAGGTGCGTTGTGGCCATAGCAAAAGAGCTCTTGGTGCTGGAGGAGGCATCTGTGTCACACTCCTTGCCATCTTCATATTTATAAACTGATATTTCCAAGCACATCTATGGAGCTGCATAGCTGCAAGTCCAGTAAAGGACTGTAATTAAACTTGATGTAATTTATTCGCAAGGGTGGATTCATTTATACACCACGGAGTTGTCTGTCCTAATCCAAGTCTCCTTGAACAAACAATTCTGAATTTATTTCTCATAAAATATCCAGCGTTTTTCCATGGATGGCATGAACTCAGGCAGCAGTGTAAATATACTGCAAATTTAATACCTTTCTACCAGTAAAATAACCTCCCTAGGCTCTCTCCAAACTTGTTTGTATCTCAGCTTTTGATGGGCCGTTGGCAAAAACTGTTGTGCTTGTGCATTTTTGTCTTGAATTTGGATGTGTGTGTTTTTTCTTGATAACCTGGCCTTTCATCTACGTCCTGTTGTTTGGAGGTGAATAATACAGCCAGTGTCCGTTGCCTTTGACATTACCTTCATGTGCCTGGAAGCTATGGTACCATGTTTTCTTACAACTGAATCAGGTGTGAGTGATGAAGAGTGGCTGGAAGGATTAGTAGAAAATAAGCTGTCTTCTGGGAAATATCATTGGAAGCTGACATCTAGAAAGGAGAGGGCGAAGGATGTGCTTGGTCATTAAACAGAAGGGGAATAAAGATTCTCTGGAGAAGGCTCAAAACAGGATAGCTGATGCCTTCTGAGAAATCTCTGTGGTAACATAACTCCAAATGTTGAGGTGAACCTTAGACTTGTTTCCATAACCCTCAATCTACTTTGGAGAGCACTCTGTAGCTTACGTTAATGATGGATGGAGAATGGTTTCCCAGGCTCTGCTCAAGTGGACAGCCTTATAGACATGTGATGAGTGGAAAATCTGAAAGATGTGGTTATAGCGAACAACTGATGAAGGATATGGAGGATAAGGAAGATGAGCAATTGCCCACGGCCAGTCACAGGGAACACTACACTCTTGATTTTGTAGAGCCACGGGCCAGCTTATATTAGCTGTGGGAGATAACTTGGAGGTGTTGCTGGTGTTGCAGTATATTTAAAAAAACAAAAAGGGTGGGGGGGAGGAGGGTGGACAGTGAATGTGGGAATGTAGTAGTTCATGTGTGAAAAAACCTTGCTCATAAATACAGAGGGGTCCCAAGAGACAAACCATGCTGTAGCAGTATATCTCCAACATAGCCTTGCCATTGTTTTTTTTCCAAAGTAAAAAAACTGATCTCTGTTCTTGGAGAAAGTGGGTCTAAACCAAAAACCCCAAAGGGCCAGTTGTGGTTATATTGGCGGGCTATCGCATCGGAATAATATTGGCCTTTCAAGGCAGTTAAACAGTATCAATGTACATTTGGCTTCCAGAAATGCAATTACAAGGGATAAATGATTATCCAATTTGCTGAGACGTTTCAGTAAGTTCATTGGATTGTAGCTTCAGTATTAGCCATGTATTAAGCAGAGGAATCTGTGCAATTTTCAGTGCCATTAGTTTGGGTTTCAGAGGGTGCAGGCAAATGGAAAGAGCTGTATGCTGTTAGATAGGGTAGGAGAGGACATGCCCTTGCATTTATCACTCCCATCTCTTGGCCATGGTGTTGACTTTTAAGAAAGTGAGGGTTACTTTTTTTTTCCTGGAAGTTGCAGGAAACATAACAAAAAATGGTTATTTAGGAGCAAAGTATGTCTGAACTTAAGCAAACCACAAGGGTTTGCTGCCTCGTGACTGTCCAGGGGCTCTCGGCACTGGGATGGGTATTGCAGAATGAGTTATCTTCTCTTTGGGGCTACTTCTGCAGGATTTGTCACTACTTTGTGTGTCTTGTAAAGGATTTGCCTGGCAAAAGTAACTCATGGCTGGTTGTGGGGTTGTTTTTTTTCTCCTTTCCTCTTTTCCCCTGCCTCCTTGTTCCCTTTCCCTCTTTTCCCAATGTGGGCTGCAGGTGTGGGCTGCTGCAAGTAGGAGACAGAGTCCTTTCTATCAACGGCATTGCAACTGAGGACGGGACTATGGAGGAAGCTAATCAGCTTTTGCGTGATGCTGCACTCACGAACAAAGTGGTGCTTGAGATTGAATTTGATGTCGCAGGTACGTTGCCAAAGGAATTGCTGCTCCTCACTACCAACAGGACTCTGCCGGTGCCTTTGCTAACCCGTAGGAGTGAGTGTACTTACGCAAATACATGAGGTTTTTGCTAGAGCTCAGCGGGAAGAGCGAGAGGACCCTCTGAGGACCTTTTCCATTTCTCGTTGTTCTGTAACGTGCACTGAGATGGAGGGTCCTTTTGATCCTTTCATAAATGCCTTGTGCTCACCACTTCACCCCTTGGCTGAGATAAGCCTAAGGAGTAGTTGAAGAGGCCACCTGCACTTTAAATATTTGCCCATTAATATGAATAATATTTATATTAATTTATGGCCTTGAAACAAGGAGGGAGCCAAAGCTACTGGCTGGGGCTAAAGTGCAGCTTTGTATTAAAAAAAAGAAGTTTTTGAAGAGAAGGCTTATAGTGGCCTTCCAATACTTAAAAGGGGGCCTACAGGAAAGATGGGGAGGGACTCTTTAACAGGGAGTGTAGTGATAGGATGAGGGGTAATGGCTTTAAACTGAAAGAGGGTAGATTTAGATTAGACGTGAGGAAGAAACTCTATACTGTGAGGGTGGTGAGACACCAAAACAGGTTGCCCAGAGAGGTTGTGGATGCCCCATCCCTGGCAGTGTTCAAGGCCAGGTTGGATGGGGCTTTGAGCAACCTGGTCTAGTGGAAGGTGTCCCTGCCCATGGCAGGGGGGTTGGAAGTAGACGATCTTTAAGATCCCCTCCAACCCAAACCATTCTATGAGTCTATGATTTTTTCCTTTTACATTAAAAGAGCTGCCTCAATCTTGAAATACAGCATGATGTGAGCACTTTGCTTGACGTTCAGAGCATGTATTTTTAATGAGAATCCAAATTTTAACCTAAAGTCCACAGGGCCTCAGATAACAACCTTATTTGAACCAATAAAGCTGAGTTTTATGGGCTTGTTTTTCTTGGTTCCAAAGAAACCATCCACGCGACTGAAAACTGTCTTTTTTCTCCTGTTTTCTTTTTTGTCTGTTTTTGGTTTTATAGAGTCTGTCATACCCAGCAGCGGTACTTTCCACGTTAAATTGCCCAAGAAAAGAGGTGTAGAGCTTGGAATTACAATCAGCTGTAAGTATTGCTCAGACTCGTGCTAGCAGTTGCAAGAGCCTCTGCTTTCCACCCTGGCACACCAGAGGGGCCCAATGGAGAGAGATAAGATTATGTAGGGTTTCCTGGTAGTGCTTGCAGTGCTTGTGATTTATCCCAAACTGAATTAGATGTGTGTTTCCTGCCCCCACGAGCTGGCGGCCACAGAGGAAAGCAGCTGCATGAAGGGTTGGGGCAAAGGATGCATCTCAACTGATCAGTTGGTCTGTGCTGCAGACTAATATTATATTATATTATTAGTACTATTATTTTTATTTCCTTACTCACAGTTGTATTATGGTCCTTTTAAAAAAGAATTGCCTGGGTCTGGTGGGAGCCTTGCAGGGAGAGGTGGAGGGAGGAGACCAAGTGTGCGGTGAACCCACAGCTTGAAGGATAGAGAGGGGAAACTGCCAAGAGGAAGAGGAGGATGAAGAGGGTGGCAGGCCTTAGAGGTGGGGGGAAGGCACTTTAGGGACAGGAGGGTGCTGGGGAGGGTTTGCTGGGAGTCGTTACATTGACTGACCTCAGCCATGGAGGAGGAGATCCATGTGCCAGGACTTGGTGGGCACTGAGAAAATGAGACATAAACCTTTTTCTTTTTTTTCTCTTTTCTCTGCTCACTCTTGATTAATTATTTTTGTTTCTCTTCTGAAGCATATTTTTCATTTAAAGACCTTTTGGGCTCTTTGGAGAGGATGTTGTAAGGAGATAATATAGGCAGATCCATCCCAAATTTTTGGCTAACCTGGGGTCTTGTTAAGCCTTGCATCAGTGAATTTTTCCTATATGGCAAATGTGAACAGGTCTCACGTCACTCATCCCTCTTTCACTGCCGGGTAAACTGAGTTGAATCATCTCAGATTTGCCATGCCCAGAGGCTGCCACCACCTCTCGGCTGAAACAAAGCAGCTTGTGAAACTGCAGTAATGGGATCTTGCATCTAAGCCTTCAGGAGCGTGGACCCAGCTGTGTCTGGGGAATGGAGTCACTAGGGACAATTTAAAATGAGGTTTCTTTAAAATAGATAAGCTATTTGCAATTACCTCTTGGCATTTACAGCATTAGTTAGTGAGTTAATTGGAGGTGTTCTGATCTAAGTGGGGTGATTCTCAGGAGTGACTTGAACATTGACAGGATGATGGATTTGCACCCTGTGTTATTTCTTCTCCCTCTTCCCAGCTTCCCCTATTTGTGCCACAAGGATAATCCTGAGAAATAAGAGCCCAGTATTTAACATTTGGCTTGGCAGCAATTACTGTCTGAAGACATCAAAGTGCTTTCCGAAAGCAGCGGGGTACCTGTAATGACATTTCACTGGCAGGGTGCAGCAGCCCAGCCTGCGCTGGCTTCCCAACCCGCTGCCCTGCCCACTGCATTGGCGTTGCAATCTCAGGTAGCAACCTAGGACGATGGATGTGGTAGCAAAAAACTTCTGGCTCGAGCATGGCCAGGGTTTTACCCCATTTAAGCTTCAAAGCTCAGTTTGTATCTGGGCCTGGAGAGCAAAATGAACCTGGGAGTTGCCAGAAAGAATATTAGGTTTTATTTGTGGAGTCTCACTTAATGGGACTGCTTCAGATGTCCATTTACACTTCAAAAGTGTTTTTATGTTGAAAATATTTTCATTTGAAATTTGTTTAAAAAATTGATTTCACACACCTTTTTGAAATCACCGCTAAATAAAAAGAAACTGACCCCTGGGTTTTAAATAGTTAGATACCCATTATCCCAACTACAAAGCAGTTTTTTAACAATATAATAGATTTCATCTTTTTGATTGTTGAACGTGTTTGCAGGACATTGTTTAAGTAATGCATATGCATAAACTTAAGATGTGTTTCAGTCCTTTGCTGAGTCAAAGCCAAATTATATTTACAAATGTAGCAAAAGACAGCCATCCAGAAAACGCGGTGGCAAGGATGAAATGCTGGTTGAATCCTAATTCTGTTTTCATATATTAGTCTATAGAAGCCTATGTCCACATGACCCTTAGCAAATTAGATCATCATTTTGTCACTCTGCCTTTGACCAAGCAGATAAACATACCAGTTTCCAACATTAAAACCAAAGCAAGCAGCCTTATGGTAAGTACCTCCTGCAGAGACATGATGTGCATACAGGAATGTGATGCAAGCAGCAAGAGAAAAGAGGTAAAAATAACTCGTCTCTATTTTGCTCAGTTCTTGCCAGTTCTGCTGATTTGAGTGCTTGTGTAGATCTAGAAACAGCTTTTACAGCTCTCTTTCTGACAAAGAAAAGTGTTTAAAGTAGGGGACTTGGTTTACTGGCATCCCACGTTGGATTCCTGTTTCCTACTCTGTAAAACTGGGGCAGGTTAAATACATGACAAGCTGGAGGAGTCAGTAGAAGACACCCTGCACTGTTGTGGCCACAGAATTGGGTTTGTTCATAACCTTTGTGGTCCAGCTACGCTGTAGATGAAAGATGAGTTGCTTTCCTTGAGTTTTACCTCTCAGCTTCAGCAGGCTCATCAGTAGTTAATTCCTCTGTCCAGGAAGGTTTGCCGCTGCCTTCTTACATGGGCAGAAAGTGTTATGACCCCATCAGAGGAGCACTACAGAAATAAAACCGATCAAGTTCTTGCTGTGCTGTGGCTCTCAGAGCTAATTGGGAGATGGGCTAAGTAAAGGGAGGGAGAGCAGAATTCTTGATGGATGTGTTGGAAGAATTCGTGTAATGGAGCTGGCTGCAGGAGGAACCATAAATCTCCTGGAAAGCCTCATAAAAGGGTTGAAAACCCAGGAGGTTTTTGTGTGAGGAGGGCAGGCGCTGCTGGTTCTGGGATGAACGTACAGAGAGGGTCTGTGCTTGCTCCCAGTGAGGGCCAGATGTTTGCTGAGGGCATTTCATCTTCTCCAAGGTCTCAAGGTTTTCCAGAAAGAGAAGGCTTGGGCTGGGTGAGCCCCGGGTTGTGGTCTGTGCGCATAGACGGGTTTCTTCCCCCTGCTCAAACACAGCGTGGCAAAGGGATGTAGCAAATCAAGACACATGATGCAAGTGTATGCATATAGCATCACTTTCCCTTCCATTCCCCAAAGGATGAATAGGAAATCAAAGGGGCGAGTCTCTCACTGGCTGTGCTTTGTATTTCTGTGGCACCTCGGTGCCCTCAAGCCTCATTTCAGTCTCCTATGTTCGCTAAATGAAAATTAGCAAAGTAAAACACCGAAGCTTCCTCGTGTGCACTGCTTGCATGCGCTTCATCCAGGGGTGAAGGGACAAGAAGCCAGCAAAATGGCTCTCATTTTCTCCCTACTCCAGTGTCTTGGTTTCTGTCCCAGGGAGATGGCTGCATTTGTTTGTAAAACAGCTGCTCTGGTTGAAGAGCAAAGTGTGTGCTCCTTTCTGCTCTGCGTGGTTCAAAGAGCTGTGTGGGCTGTGAAGCTCACTTGTTTACAGGGACCTCTGAGGTGCTCCGAATGGTGAGGATGCAAAGATGTGCAAACTGAGATTTTTGACACAGGGATGTGAAGATTTGGCTCTTGTTAGTCTGAGCTACTCATCTCCATTAGCAAAACACATGCCTCAAGTGCTGTGATCTTGCTGGCTGCATTCAGTTCTAATGATACAGTTATGCCTTTGTAGATCTTCTGTAAATCTCTTACAAATTAAAATCTCCATGAGCGAGAAGCTGATAGGCGTGTATTCTTGCATGTTCAATACCTGACCTCTTAAAATAAGATATGGATTTGTTATTAGCCTCTGGAAAATGATAGTTGATTACATAAAAGATTGCTTTTTTTGATTTGTGGGTTGGTTTTTTTTTTGTCTGTCTCAAACATCCTCTCCAAGGGCTAGTTGTGAAATTCACTGAAGGGTACAGGTGTGTTGTTGTTGCTGTTTAAACAGATATTGAAATTACCTTTCATTTTAAATATGCATTAATGCTTTATATAGCATGTTTATCAAATTACCTTTATATATCTCAACAAATCAATTCCTGTGCCCTTGGCATGAAGTACTGCAGATAAGGAATAGGTAGTATATCTGCTTGCGGGCGATAAAACTGGAATTTGGGTAGATAGATAACTTTGATTAAGTCGCTTGAGCAGCGTAATCACTGTCCTAGCAAGAAGATGGATCTGTGAGCCGAGCAACATATGTTCAGCTTTGCTGGTGCTGGATTAACCTGGGACCTGCCACCAGCCCGGCAGAGTGTGTCTGCCAGCGGCGGTGTGCGCAGCAGCCTCCTGTCCTACCCCCTCGCTAACATTGCAGCTTCAACTGAGATTTGCAGCTGCTTCACTCTGGTGCTTTTACCGAAGTGGGGTATTCTGTCCTGGTTTTGCTGCCTAGAGATTTTGAAAGGAAATAGATCTGCGGTGGGGCAAATATCCTGCTGGAGGCACTGATAATTTATGCACCTGCTGCTAAAACTAATGAATGATAGAAAAATAAGTTGGGTACTGGGGATTTGATTTTCACTGCTGCTTTTTGTAATTGATTCTGATTTGCTTTTATCCCTCTTCTCATTCCTTAGCTATCCTGAGATTACTGGGTTTCTGATTTTGTTTGTTTTCTCCCGTTTATAAATGCTTGCTTTCTTAAATGTATTCTTACGGCATTATTTCAATTTCTTTAATTACATGTTGGCAGAGTGCTGCTTTGGCTTGGTCAATAATGAAGGGCATTTATAATGGGTTGATGTGTGTGAGATATGTGCTCGTGCTCCTTGGAGGGGAATAATTTACCAATATGAGTCATTATGCATTCTATTAAAAACACAAACTGGACATGTGTTTCTGGCCTCATCATCCATCACAGAGTAAACGCCGAGCGAGCCAGAATCCCAGCAGAGGTGGTGAGAGACTGAAAGCAATTTATAAAAAGTAAATAACAGTATTGATCAAGTCACCTTTTTATCACTGCCCTGTCACCACCGCTAAGCAGTGTTTTCATTTTGAGTTTCTCCCCCACCCCATGCTTCTACCTTCACCAGCTGTTGATTTATGGAGCTTTCTCTGGGCCACTGGAGCAGATTTAAACTATCTTTTGTACTGGTAAACCCGCCAAAAATACAAATGTATCTGAAAAAGAGCCTACTTACACCTGAAGTGGTTTGCCTGGCAGATGGAGGCCACAACGAGAGCGCCTGCCGGGAGAGTGTGGGTTTCTGCACAGCAGCTTCTGCCTCTGTGCCTCGGTTCATCTCTTCCCTTCGCTCCCTTTGCTGCCATCTCCATTTTACAGCCGGGAAAGCAAGACCCAGAGGCAAAGCTGGGTGTCCGAACCGTGTCTTCCTGCAGAAAACAGAATTACCAAGGCAATGTCATTTGAAGAGGAATAACCACATCGACAGCAGAAACAAATGGATAAAGGGGCTTTACTCATCTGTGCAAGTGTCTTAGCTCCAAAGACCATGGCCCTAATAAAATAATAATGTAGTTTAAGTTTTGGTTTTAATTGCAGGCAAATTGGAAATGGTTTATCCAAAATCTCACCAGGGATCTACGTATCTAGTGCCTCTGACCTAGGCTGAGCCACCACTTCAGTGAAACTGCAGGTCTCTCACCTGTAGACAGGCAGCCCTTACACAGAGGCACATTGTCACCCTGCAAGAACAGCACAGGGCTGTTAAAAACGTGGGTCCCAGGGTGGCTGGGGTGGTCGGTGACAGCCTGGTCCCAGCTGATGGGCAGAAAGCCCAGCTGGGTGCTCTGCTGGGGCGCTGGGAAGGGCTTTGGGATGCCAAAGGCGAATTAATGGAGCTAGTAACTACTGGTTTTTAAAACGAACAGCAAATGAGCATTCTGTGCTTTGAGATGTCATGGTCTTAACTTTGTATCTTACGCCTCTAGAGAGAGAATGATTATTCATTAAGTCTCTCTAACCTACCCTTCAGATTTGTAGGTCCTGACTAGTAATGATGGTTTTATAAAGCCTTTCGATTTTATACTAAGTGATTATTTAAAACAGAGGGCTGCCATTTATTAAAGTTTGGGTACTCTGATGGTAGGGACAGCTGTATGCAGTTGTACATGGCTCTTCCATTAACTGAAGTCTCAAGAAAATCTGTTTGGAAAGCACAACTTCCAAAAATAACACAAACAAAATCCAGAATGATTTTTCCTTAAAACTTGCTTTGTTTCCTAATGGACAAAGCACTTGGTTTGTCACCCTTGCTTCTGATACGGGAAGCTTGTGCTGCGTTCAGTGCTGACACCAGTTGCGGAACTGCAGAAGGACGGGGTCTCGCTCTCTGCTCAAAGACTGACCGTGGGCAGGATCCCTCCATGTGTCGCAGGGCTTGTAAGGCAGACGCTGAGATAAACACCATTTCTGCAGAGCTTGAGGCATGTTCTTGTCTATACTTGCTTCTTTATTGTTTTTCTTTCCCCCTTCTTTGCTCTTTTGAGTGTTAACGGTCTCTGAACACATTGTTCCAGTTGTGGCTGGGTCAGGTTTAGAGACGGCCGTCCCAACCCACCACCAGGACTGTGGAGATCCTCCCTAACCCCTTTCTGTCACACTGCCTCTGCTTTGAAACTAGTAAACAAACCTTGCAGTGAAAAGTATTTTTGCTAACCTGGATCGTTTTGACAGAACCAGGCTAGGGAGTGATTAAACATGCAGCAATGCCAGCCCGACCCGGGGCTCAGAGTGTGCTAACAGGGTCTCCCATCTCCACCGCTTGGACCACCACATTGTACACCCCTCTCAGCAGCAAATAAATCTTCTATATTGAAAAAGAGAACAGCAATAGTAATAACAGGGTGATAAATCTCTGTCCCCTGTGCTGTTAGTCCACGCCGTGTGGGCTTCTCGATCAGAGGGGGGATTTCTGTGTTGATTTTAGCTGCTGCACCCCATTCTTCCCTCCCACCACTCAGCTCTGCCTGGTGTGTGTCGTATCTTCTGGCTGGTCTGTGCCGTGGACAGGTTGAATATAGGCACGAGCCCTCGGTGAATCTCCACAACCCATCTGCTTCTGTTCAACCCACAGCCACAAGCTGAACATGAGTGTCCAGACCAAAATTACCTGGCACCACACTCCAGTAAGACATGGGGAAAATAATTCTTCCCGGCTCTGTATCATTCAGCAGTTGTATTGCCATGACTATTGTGAAATCAGTCAGGGTCTGCTCTTTCCTGTCTGACCTAACTTTTACACTCAGCCCTGCTATGACTGAGATTGGTTGTCTTTTTGCTCTGTTCAGTACAGAAGGTTTAGTTATAACTGGGAGAGGGTATCCTTAAATGTGACGGGTTAGCACATATGTTTTTAAATCTCATAAATGAATGTAAACAACAGAAGTATCTAGAGCAGAGAGGTTGGTAAGAGGAAGCACTTACTCCTTTATGTCTGACTTTCTGGGGTGCTCTCTAACTGCTGTTCAGGCAGGTGGATCTCTGTGTGTTTGATGCCACGTGCCTCACAGATATTTTAATCTCTGACCTGCACCTGATATGTTCAGATGCTGCGAGTTTCTTCCTTCCCACGCAGTTTTTGCTGAGAAGCTCTGTCAGCTTTAAATGAGACGATGCAATTCCCATAGCAAGGCAGGAGGGTGTGATGCGGGGTGAAAAGGATGCTCTTGGCATATGTTTGGTGTGTGCATGGCAGAGAGGTCAGGAGGGGTTCCAGTCATAAATCTCTCTTGGATTTCTCAAGAGAGCAGCAGGTCTTGCAGTCAAATCTGAAGATGCAAATGCTCCCAGAGATGCGTACTCGCATCTCTTGTGGGATGAAAAAGTTATCAGGGTTGGGCAGGAGAGGAGTTGGAAACCGCCCCTTCCAGCTCCAGCACTGAGACCAGCCCTGATTTATCTGGTTGTATGATGAAGTGGCCTGGGGAGCTGAACCAGCTGGAAAACAGTGCTTTATCTAATTTTTCCTGGGTTATTTTCCACCTGGAAAATTTCCCAGCCCACTTTACTTCAAGAACACAGAAATGCTTGTATTAAGCACAGCGCTGAGCTAGGTACTCCCTGGGCAGCAGTGCTGTAATGTCTGATTACTGCCACAGCCATTGACTCACTTGTTGTCTTGTGTCAGTGATGTGGGTGAGCGAGTGTTTAACAGCGCTGGGATCGGGCAATGCCACCTCTTGCTGCTGGACACCACATGTCCTCCCCTTCAGGAGAAGTCTGAAGGTAGAAGCTAGCTAACTTGGGCAAAGGGCAACCAACAAACTTTTGGAGGGATTTACTTCTTTTTTTTCCTGGTGTGGCTTCCAGAGTTCAAGGGTGAAGCATCATTTTGTCAAAGGAATATAAATTCCCTTTCTTTACGACTCCTTCTCCCCATTAACCATCCCCATCCTAGAAAGCAGACTCAATACCAAGCTTTGTACCCATGTGTCTCTTTTGCAGCTGCAAGCAGAAAGCCTGGGGAACCTTTGATCATCTCTGACATCAAGAAGGGGAGCGTAGCACATAGGTGAGTGCAGAATTTCCCATCTGCCAAACCCATTGCAAAATGTCAGAGCCAGTAATGAGAGGTAGAATGAAACCCAAGCAGTAGTACTTGGGTCTGGATTTTGCCAGCGTCCGAGGAGATCTCAAACCTAGAGGTTTGTCTGAGACCACAGTAGGGTTTGCAATAAAAACTGTCTGTATTGAAGTAGAGTTGAGCTAGTGGAGAAGGTGGCCAGGGCACCAATTCAGATGTCTGCTGACCCTATAGGAAATAGATGTTTAGCATTTAAGAGCATGTGGTAAAGGGCTTCATATATCCCATAAGGTGCTATGTCTCATCAGGTAGTTTGCCATGTCTCAGTTCCTGCTCAGGTGAACAGAGTGAGTGAATTGTGGGCACTGGTGGAGAACTGTGCAAATAACTCAGCATTTATTGACTTCACCTCCGATCCCAGTACCTTACAGCCAGGCTTTCAGAGGAATTTAGTGCTGCCGGAGGGCTCGTTTCTAGAGTGCTTATACAGGAGTTTCCATAAAAGGTAGAATATCTGTCAGTTAAACATGAGGCATTTTTCAGTGCTGTAGGTTACCCAGGCTGTATATCTAATCTTCCTGCCTTGTTCTGTCTTGATGCACACTCTACACAAACTTCCTCTCTTTAAGTTACAATTGTCCCAGACTCCGTACATGGTTGTTTACCAGAAAAGATCAAGGACAGCAAGAAGTTAATATTGTCATTGCCACCACAGGACTGAATGAGTGGTGGGATCTGAAAGGCAAATACAAATGTACTTTAAGTAAGTTTTCTTTTCCTTTCCACATAGAACTGGCACCTTGGAGCCAGGAGACAAGCTGTTAGCCATTGATAACATCCGACTCGACAATTGCTCAATGGAGGATGCTGTGCAGATTTTAAGGCAGTGTGAAGACCTGGTCAAATTGAAGATTAGGAAGGATGAAGATAACTCTGGTACAGAAATCCTGATGCAAACTGGTGCCTGTCCACTGTAATGACATTTCCCAATAGGCAGTGCAAACTAACAAAGATAAGGGCTGCTGCCTGTCCGGTCACCACTTTCCAATTGATTATAGTCTATTTTTGTTATTCTGCCCTTAAATGGAGCGTGGAAGGTTAAAATCCTATTTGGTACGAGCATGGCTGAAGACCTCAGGCTTTTGCTTCCAAATGCTGCAAGTCTTTCCTATGACCTCTTTCATATGGCTAACTAAAAATTTCAGCATTCCTGTTTTCTCTTTCAGATGAGCAGGAGACAACCGGTGCTATTATCTACACAGTGGAACTGAAGCGATATGGCGGTCCCTTGGGAATAACCATCTCCGGGACGGAGGAACCTTTCGATCCTATCGTCATTTCAGGCTTGACTAAACGAGGGCTGGCAGAAAGGTGAGGTTTTGGGGGCAGAGGCATTGAATTGATGTGGGAAGAGTTCTTGAACTTCGCCAAGTTTCCTCTGCTGTCATAAACTTTTCTTAGGTGTTTTAGTCTGCTAAAAAGGAAAGGTGCTATGACGGTACCAAGCGCTATGAAGCAGGGTGGTTGGGACTGTGCTGTTAGGGCAATGAGAGAGGCTCAGAGCAGGGCACTTCTGGAAAAGTCAGATCCAGTGAGTCAGCAGCCAGGAACATGTGTTTATCTGCCCCTCTTCCACAGACGTGCTTCCTGGTCTGTGATTTCCCATGCACATCTTGCATGGGGAGAGTGCCCAGCCTGCCCACAAAACCACTGTAAACTCCTGTCCAGGACTCACCTATTGCTAAACTACAGCTTACGGCCATGACAGTGGTGTGTCCTGCTGAAACCACAGATCCCAGGGGTTCTTCTGACCCATCCTTGCTGGTTGCTTAGTCTGTTACATGTGGAGGTATCTCAGTGCAAGGCTGGCATGCCGCAAGCAGCAGACATTTATACTGCATAAACGTAGGCACAGATTTACCTTCGGCAACTAGGGAGGTTGACTGTATGTGTGCCTGTGTCTGAATATATGTGCATGCGTAGGATTTAAAGGATCAGGACATTGCTTAGAATATAAGGTGGAACTGAGTCATACAGTGTATCTTAATTAATCAGTCTATACGGTAGCTGTGACTTGTAAATAGATCATTTCAGCAGCCCTGACTCACGCTTCTCATAGGGTTGTTTTACCCTGTGCTGCCTGATAGGCAGAACAGCAGCAAAAAAACCCTGAACAAATAGGTGTAAAGTGCTAGACCTTGGGGAGGTTTGACTGCAGATCTGGCCTTTTGGTTCTTTCTGTTTCAAGGCCACATTCCCTCTTAGCTGAACTGTAAAACAGCTCAGTGCCTCTTTCTGCATTGGGATCCTTGAGCTCTTAGCACGCATGCTGCTGCACATTTCCATTGCTTCCCTCTGGTACCGAAAGCAGAACATCAGTGTCTCCCAAGAAATAAGGAAGATGGATAGACTTAGTCATTAGTGTTTTTTTCTCTTCGGGGAATTTATATCATGGCCTGCCACTGTAGGATTCAGTCTTTTTCCCTAGAAGATAATAGCCACAGAGTATCCAAGGCTTTTCTGCATAGCAGTTCTGCACTGTACCTGCAGCCCAGCGTGAGAGAGGTTAAGGACAAAAAGCCCAGATGCTGTCAGGTGTTAGAAGACAGTCTCGTACCCTTGTTGCTCTCAGTTCCCTTTGCAATGCCATGGCTGTTCCTCCTTCAAACTCGGATACACATCAGTGACTGCTCCACAGAGAAACGTAGTGCAGGCAAGTGCTGCGGTACTATTGAATTTTGATCAGGAGCTGGCAGGCAGTAAGGAATGAAAAGTCTTTTGAGAAGAGTGATGGAGCTGTTCAGCATGTTCACTGTAGCTGACTAACAAATAACAGTGCCTGTGCAGAGGAGCGGCATGGGGACAGAGCAGCACGGGGATTTCTCTGGGTAACCTTGGCTCCCCTGTGGGAAGGGCGAGGGATGCTGAGATGAAGGCTGCCTGCAGGAAAGGTGCATTTTTTTTCTCCTGGGACTAACAGAAGGGAGTGGCTTGACCTTGTCAAGGGAAGAGGGTGGTCCTAGTGTTATCCTAAATTGTCCTTTTCCTGCTGTCACTACCCTTCCCTGTGCCACAGGCGCCCTTAGCCAGGCTCTGAAGGGTGGGACAGGTTTCTGAAGGACAGGGATTTAAACCCAAATCTGTGCCTGGCTTTTGCTGGGGTACAGGACATGTTTCAGCAGCGCTGGCACTGGGTGGACCAGATCCCAGCATCTGATAACGGGAACGTGCCGGCCTCTCTTGTAGAGGCACGAGTGAAGGTCTGTGCTGCTGCTCACTCGGTGATGGAGAAGGCAGGGTGTCCTCTAGGATCTGTCACACGTCTGCCACAGCAGGTGACAGGCTGTCTAAGCTGAAAAGGCTCCAGATTCAGGTGACTTGGGTTTTATCTTGACCTTGAACATTTTTCTCCTTGTATGTGTCTGATCTTATAGAAACCTACAGAGGCAGCTCAGGCTGTTGGGTTGGTGTCGAGTGGTGGCTCTCTCCCATGTTAGTCTCTGTTTCCCCTCCTTCAGTGCCTGCAGGTGGCTTTAGCCTGGGTCATGGGACTTGTTTTCCTTCTTCTGTTCAATTCTGGTTGAGGTGTAATGGTTCTCCAAGAGCAATTTTGGGCTAGCGCTGGCATTTTAAAGTGCCTGACCAGCCTCCTCTAGTGCCACCTGGTCAAGTAGATGGGGGTGGCTGCAGGAGGGTTTTGTCCAGGAGTGCTCAGCACCAACCCATGTTGGCAGGGGGCAGAAGGGATGGTGGCCCTGCCCATGTGCCAAGTAAATCTCTACCACGTGCATGCAGGCACCTCTTCTCCAGTGCTTGCTGGATAGTGCCTGCAGCCCCTTTTACACCTTGCAACCTACCTGTTGCTCAATTCTGCTCTTGCGTGTGTCCTGTGGGCAAGAAGGGACATGGAGGATGCAGCTCCTTGGGCTGGTTTGTGTTTGAGTTGAATTTAGTACTATTGGTGATAATGGAGAGGTACAAGGGTCATTAGCTAGAAACAGCTTTCTCTGTCGCTCCTGCTTGGCTTCTCTCTGCTTGTCCTCACAGGGGTGCCTGGAGATGGACAGATGAGAGGACTGGACTTTGATTTGCTTTTCCCCCCTTGAAGAAAACCACCTGGCTGAACGTGACCTTTCTCTTTAATGGTTTCTGTATTTTTCCCTGCTGAGGGACTTTCACAGTTTCTGCAGAGCAGTCACGCTGTTCAGAGGTTTGGCTAGTGTCTTGGATAGGATATGCATCCTCATGCTGGGTTCAGGGCTAAAGCAGGAGGCCCTCAAATGCTGAACCACTGCAGCGAGCGAAGGATCGCCTTTAAACTGCCAGCCGTAAAGCTTGATTTTTTTTGACTACGTAGATGAAACTTTTAAGACAAATACTGGGGTTCCGGTTTGATCTGTTATTTATTTGAATGCGCAGATTTTCCTTGAGGGCTTTTTCAGGCTGATTTGGATGGGACAAGACGGACATCTAGTGGCTGCCTGGGACCGTCATGGCACTGTCCAAGTATCTTAGCAGAAGCAGCAGACCAAACAGTCCTGCCTGCTGTTTGGCTACATTTCCCAATTTGATGTACTTATAGTAGATGTTTCACAGCAGTGTGTCTACAGAAGTTTCATGTTTTAGGGAAAGACAAATAGCTGTTTTGCCTGCAACAGTATATCAAATTCCAATTCTGCAGGAGCAGCAGTCCAATTTGGAGATGTAACTTGAGAGAGCCACATTGCCGTGGACAAAAAGATATTGCAGTCCAGATTTGCATCTCCTCCTGGCTCGATCTCACAGGTTCCTGATAGCCAAACCTTATGGCACTGCTGGAGGAGGAGAGGATTGCTGCTCTCACTTGCTGGCATTAGGGAGCCGGAGCGTGAGCGTGGTTAGATCGGTCCAGCCAGTGGCAAGGGCAAGCTCCTGCCTTGGCAGCCAGCTCTGGCGATGGACACATCCTGTCCTTGTCCTGCCTGCTCTTCCCGGAGCTGCAACAAACACCGGGAGAGGTAAAGTGAGCCCCTGTCTGTGGGCAGACACAGAGGAGAAGGATGGAGGAGAAGGGGGAGAATTGCTGTGACTTGTTAGTTTGTTCCTGGCTGTTGCTGAAGCCTGAGGATTTATTTAGCTGAGAGCAGAAGCCAGTGCTGGAACGTGGCTGTGCAATAAAACACAGTAACCTCTTCTAGCGTGCTGGTCCTGATGGAGAAAGTCACAGTGGTGTAGCTGTGTAGGGCTGAGCTTTAAACATATCATGAGTTGATCTGCAACTGGTTCAGCTTATGCTTACACGCACAACCTGTGTCTGTTGGGCCATTTTGGTTTTGTATTTTTTTTCAGCAGGTTTCTAGGTTTGTCTCATCCTTTCTTTCCATCAGTGTGAACGCACCCTTCAGTTCCATGTGTGACAACCGGTGGACATCACACACTGGAAATGCTTGTGCTTTTTATATGTAGACCCCCTTGCTTTGAAGAATTTTGACTGTAAGTTGGTCTGCAGTCCCAGTTACCAAGGGGCCTGGGATCCGAGGAGTGCGTATGTTCTTGTACTTACTTATATGTATATGCACAGGTGGAAGATGGGGGGATGACCCAGATTCCTGGCAGTGGTGATGAAGAGGAAATCATGGGTATACAGCATAGCAAGGGGAAACCAAGACGTATTTGAAAGTGCTGAGAGTTAATACGCTATTGCTTCAAGCGACAACTTAATGGCCTGTCTCACAGAGGCAAATTGCTTCTCTGAAGTTTCTAACAGCACCTTTTCTCTCCAGAACTGGAGCCATCCACATCGGTGACCGGATATTAGCGATTAATAACGTGAGCCTCAAGGGCAAACCGCTGAGCGAAGCCATTCACCTGCTGCAGATGGCAGGAGAGACGGTCACTCTGAAGATCAAGAAGCAGACGGAGAGTGAGTTGGGGAGACTGGTTTGGGGTGGGAGGGCAAAGGTGCGCCCCAGCAGGGAGCCCGGGTGATGGAGTAGGTAATGCCGCGGGTTTTCCTTCATGTGTTGTGGAAGGTGAGATGAGGCAGTGTGGTCAGGGGCATGGCTGGGGACAGAGGGAAAAGGAAGTGTTTTTTGAACTTCTGACTCACAGATGAAAAAAAAGGCAACCCAGGGGCTCTCTGTGGTACTGGGAAGAGATAAGACAGCAGGTTTATTGGTGATAATTTTTTTTCAGATTGACATCTTGTGCCATTGGTGCCATTCCCTGTCTGTGTGGGTGTTTCACACAAAAGCGAAGCAGAAGTTGCTTGTAAAAGTAGAAGAGTGCAGGGCTTTTTTAAAATATAACACCCTAAAATGAGCAAGGGGACTCTGAGCTGATAGAACCCATGAAAAAAACTCACCACCTTTAATTCAACTTTCTGAAAGTGATTGGTAATAAATCTTTTATGCCCCTTTTCCTGGCTTGGGGTCCTAAGGTCTACCTTCACTCTAGGAATCCCCTTCTCATTTCCCTGCCAAGCTCCCTGTGGCTTTGATGCTGCTCTTCTTGGCAGAGCAGAAGCATACTTAATACAGGCAGGCCACTTTTTGGGGGGACAGAGGAGCGATTGGTGAAACCAAGGAACATGCAAACTTTTCTCCCTAACTGCATAATCACAGCCAGAGGCTTTTTAATCAAGTTCAGAAAGTAGTGGGTGCATTCTGGCTGCATTTCTGTCTCTCCCCACACCCGATATTTTCTATCTTTTTTTGTGTCATGCTTCTGCAGTCTCTAGATTTAGCTGGACCTACCCAGCCAATAGCCCACAGTGCTGTGGGAATTAGAAGAAATCAAGTGATGAAGCTCTTCCAAGCAAGTGTGGCCCATGGCATCTCTGTCCTGCATCTGAAAAAGTAGCATCACTCTTAAACATGGCACTTCTGTAGACATCAAAGCAGTTTGCAGATGTGTGGCAATGCACCTATTTTACAAATACAGGAAGGCCAGGCAGGGACTGGGGACTTAGCAAGTAGAGGTATAACTGGGGAATTGATTCCTCTTCAAGAAACCCCAGTCTTGTTCCCTGCAGCCAAGTGTCTTGATCCTTGGTCTGAAATACTCTTTTTCCTGCTGCTGACACTTAGCATTGTCACAGCCACTTGCTGAAATAATTGACATGCAAGTGCCAGTTGGAGACTCGTTAATCATTCTGAGAATGAAGCAGGTGTAATTGAAATTTCAAGGTAATCTTGAGTTAATCATGGTAAGCAATCTTCTGAATGCTTGGAAAATAGGGACTTTCAGGACACTGGGCTTTGTTTCGTAAAATAATCTGTCCTCATTGACAAATGCAGACTTTCAGAGGGCTTTTTATCCCAGCCTCTGCAAGTCAGAGATCCAGGGTGTGGATGGCTAACAGGATATCTAATCAACGAGGACTTCAAAATATTCAGTACAAAGAAATGCTTGTGCTGAGAAGCCATTCCTTGCATAGCTTTTGCCTGAAAGGGAAATTGATATAATGATAATAGGGGCCTATTATTACTAAAATAATGAAAGGGAAGGTCTGAGCTTCATCATCCACATTCAGCTTTCCATTTTCCAATCACTAATCGGGGAAATTCAGCCTCAAAATACCAGGCCCAGGAATTCCACCGTTGTCGTGAGACTGCATGGGAGACTCTGGAGAGGTGGTGATTAGCCTTGAATTGATACGAGGTTGTACAATCTTGGAAGGGGGCTATAACTTCAGCTGCGCTGGTTTAGGACCAGGTTGCGTTGTCATTGGAATCTCATTAAAACATCTGCTTGTAACAGAAAGTTTGCAGCCAGCACCCTGACCAGTTGCTGCTCTGAGTAAAAAGCAGGTCCTTTGAGACCAGAGGAGCTACAGGCTATTGCTTGCAGAGGCCAACACTTCTCTGGACAGGGCTGCTTGGAGGAAGCTTCCAAAGGCACAAGAAGATGCACCTGTGAAGTGAGATTAGGTCGCAACTCTCTCATATTTGTGAATCCTCAAATCCCCATGGTTGCTCCTTATATTCTATGTGCTAAAAATTCAGAAAGGTATTTTCTCTTGATTCAGCTTGAGCCAGGAGTACTGCATTAAATTCTTTCAACTGCATCACACAGGCCTTTCTTAGCTACTTTTGAAGAGCTAAAGAGGTACTTCAAAAGACTTCCAGTACCTGGGCTTGCTCCCATGTCAGCATAAGCCTTTCCCCGAGGTTTGCTCTTTGTGCCTGCTAAAGCAGCATGTTCTGGTTTCAGAATCCTATCCCAAGAAGTCGGGGAGTATAAACGAAGTGAGTGACCCAGAAGATGAACTGACTGACTCCCAGAAAACTAGCAAGCTGTCTGAGATATACTCCACCACAATTCCTAGCGTGGACAGTGCTATGGAATCCTGGGATGGCTCTGGCATTGATGCCGGGTATGGAAGCCAAGGTAAGCCAGGGTTGTCTTTTCTTAGGGGTCTCTGGGCCAAGGTGAAGATAGGCAGAGCCTCTGAACCTGTCTGGAGACTGAACATGAGCCGAAGCCTGTGGTCTGACCACATTTGCGTGGCTTCTCGCTTCCAGCAAGGAACAAAATGTGTTTTAAAATGCACTCATGTGGTGCTCTGAGTTGATGTATCTGTTTTAGGTTTTTATTGGCACATTTCTTCTGGCTTACATGGCATCATACTGTTCACAGCATTTTCAAAACCATTACAGCACTTTATAATTCACATAATCAGAGGAAGTATTCACTGGCCATATATCTTACAGAGTATTTGGTCCATAGCTCACTTTTAATTCTCCAGAGAGGCCATGTAGGACATATTAATCCTCTTCAGGATGTTTTAAAATCCACAAGAATGTCTTGTGACTAGAAGCACTCGCTTAACAAAATAATTAAGGTAATACTACAAGAAAGTATCTCTAACTCTCCAGTGAGCAATCAGATGAACACATGTCTTTGAGGCCAGGTTTATTCAGCTGTGGCTTCTGGCAGACATATGGAATTGGGATGGAGGATGCTCTAGTCATGGGAATAGATTTTTACTTGGAGAAAAGCACTGGAAAATAGTTATTCCAGTTCAGATTTAGTGATGTAAGCTAGTATGAGCCCATGTTGAAACAAAACAAAACTCTGAATCACCTCCGCAAAAGGAAATTGGTGAAAAGACTGCTGTCTGGAACAGAATGTCAAAGCAGGGAGGGATGCTGCAGGAGTGCTGTTGCAAAGCACCTTCAATGTGCTGAGCAAGGTGCGTGCCTGTGCTCACTGTGCTCTGACTTGGCAAAGCTCAAAGGACAGCACCGTGGAGGTGTCTTCCACCAAGCCTGCGTCTTCCTTCAGCCTCCGTTGGTCTGAAGTCTTAATTTGGGAGTACAATTGGGGCTGGAGGCTTTGTTAAGGAGGAATCCCCTGGCCTTCATAATGCTGCAATCCTTCTCCATCTAATTGAATGTTAACACAAGTTGGACACTGGATTTAGCAAAGTGATTGCTTTTACCGGTAAATTGAGAACGAGTAATTGAGCACAGAGCCCCAGGGAGCGGGGCTGATGCCAAGTTGCCCAACATCCACAGACTGCAGCTTTGCTTCAGGGGCTCTCTCCTCATCCCTGGTAATTGCATTTGGCTGCATGGTGGTGTGCTGGTGCTGGCTGGGAGAGGGATGCTGGAGGGTAGGGAGAAGGACATGCAGGGTTACCCAAGGGTTGGGCAGGGAAGGCAGGATGGAGGGAGACCTGGGACACACAGAGCCCAGAGACTGGGCTTTACACCCCAAATGGAGAACTGTAGGTTGGGCTCTGCAGCCTTGTAGGTTTTAGGTTCATCCACAGCTTTTGGAAACCGCTCAAGGAAGGATTTGGGCAAGGGAGCTGTGCTGGGCCTGGTGGGAACATGCCACCAGGTGGCTCTGAATCCCAGGGATCCAGCCCATCTCCCTGGAAGGAGGAGGTGAAACCGGTGGCACCCAAGTGACAGCTCTGCACACAGACCCTGGCAGTGCCCGGTCCCCTGCGGCCAGCCCAAACCTGCTGCCCACCCGCTGCAGGGACCTGCATCCAGGGAACTTGTTCTGCTCTGGCAGGCAGTGAATGCTCCTGACTGCTGTAAGATATTGGCAAGCGCTTTTCTAGGGCTCTCTCCAGAGCAGTCTAACCTTTAAAAACACACAGAGGAAACACTCAGCTAAGTGAAATAACAGGCCTTGGCATTTTCAAAGAAAGTGCTGGCGTTGTCTTTGGGTATTTCCAGTGCCCTTAGCTGTTTGGGAGGTCAAGTCTCCCTTAATTATGTGTTTCTCCATTACCTCTTCCTGTTCGCTTGGCACAGTGTGTGATGGAAGCATAAGATGTCTCTTGGAAAGGCTGTGAGGATTTCTCCGAAATGTTGAACGGGCAGCAGGAGGTGGGCAGGGGACTTGGGAGATTTATTTCCACTGCAGATGGCACTGACACTGCTGAGGAATGCTCTGTTTTGGAAGGTTTCTGTCCAGGCAGCTCCTCCTGAGACCTGGGGATCTTATGACTTGGTAGTGATGGATTTGCATCTCTGGAGTAAGATGCTGCAGTACAGAAAAGTCCATGAGGGCAGACGTAGCGAAACTTGTCTGATTTCATCCTAACAGTCTGTATTGATCTCCTATCAAATGTGATACAGATGAGCCTTCCTTTCTCTCAAGCCAGCAGAGTTTTTCCTCCTGTTCCTTGCCTTTCACACACATCTCTGAAGGAGTTTTCTGTACCTGCACCAGCTGACCCTGAAGGCATGGGAGGGCTCTGCTGGCTGCAGGAACTGGCTGGCAGCTCTCAGGATCAGAGCTGGGTCTTCCTCCTTTACCACTGCTGAGCGCACTGGAGCTGGTGACCACCCCCAGGTACCCTCAGCACCATTACACTTGTTGAAGGGAGGCTGTTGCTTCTGGCTGCTCTGGATGCAGTTTCTTTGCTGCTGTCCTATATCCTGTTACCTCTTTCACGCTATCCATTAAGTCCTGAAGACAGTTGACAATCTAAATGAAGATTTTATTTTTTTCCTAATAGAAATTAGGCCTCCAAATCTTTCAAAACAAATGGGGTTGGGTACGCTGAGGGAAGCTTGCCAGCATCTTCTCTTTACCCTTTGAAGGACTCGCTGTATTTAAAGGTGGCTGCTTTAACAGCACAATTTCTGTGGGGTTCAGTGTGGAAACAGGAGCCATTAATCCAGGTTGCAGCTGGCTGGAGGTAGGATCTGCATCTGTGGGTATATGCAGTCCCACGTCTGTGGATCCCAGCCCCACACCACAAAACTACTCAGCAGTGGGGGAGCAGAGGAGAAATGGGGCACCTTACGACAAGATCCTGAGAAGCTGCTTTGGTTAAAGCAAGAAGAGATGGGAAGAACAACCCCTTTTGGATGACTGAGATGGAAGCAATATGCAATCCATACAGCCTCAGGTTTGGGACTTGGGGAAGGAGGCTCTCCTGGCTCAGCATGACTTATTCCATTTGGGTTTTCTGACCAGGTATTACCCTCTCTCTCTCTCTCTCTCTCCACTCCCTCTTGCCTTCCCTAGGTACGTACATACCTCAGGCTGCGGGCATAGCCCTCCATCCACATGAATGGAGACACAGCAGGCAAAAGAGTAGCACCCCTCCAGGGGACCCCAGGAAAAACTACCCCTACATGGATGGAAGCTTCAGTGAAGATGACTGGGACAAGCCCAGCAGGTACGAAGGGGTGGGAGGAGGCAGGGAGGTGTGTCTGCAAATGTGGGTGTCACTGCGTAGGGACAAGGGGACAGGGGAATGTGATGGAGCGGCCAGAGATGTCCCCATCTCGGCATCGGGCAGCCATGGGGAGGGGTGCTGGGGTGGAGACCTGCTCTGTTGAACCCCTTCCACATTGCCAGGTTACCCTGGGTGTAGCTCTGTGACACCTCTGCCATGGCCAGGTGACGTTTGTGTCTGGAGTTAACGCGGTCTCAGCTGCATGGACCACAGGTTCTTACCACATCTCATACTCCTGCCATGTAAAGGCTGCAGTATTTTCATAGTTCAGGTATAATAAATAGATATGGTCAGGGCTATACTTGCATGTGTTGGCCAGACTTTTTCGAGTGAGGATGCAGCTTCACAACAGCTCAATGCCACGAAGCAAAAAAGGCCAACCAAAGCTCTTGGAGGACCAGTATGAGGTTGCGTGTCCAAGTCAAAATCTCCCAAAGCTGTGGCTGGACGTCTCTCTCCGCCACACTTTGGCCCTGCCAACACCACAAACAAAGCCATGCTGAGTGAACATGGTCAAGTTAATCCCCCGGCTCAGCCAACGTGGGAGAAATCCTGCAACACCTCCTGAGCCCGTGGAGGAGGCTGCAGCTGCCTCTCACTTCGGGGGAAAATCCTGCTGGATCTGCCCTGGCCAGAGGCTGCCTCTTACTGTGCCACACGTGGTGGAAAAGCCTTGTTGCTTCGTAACTAACCCTCCCCTTGACATCCTCCAGAGTCCCTACAGTTGTGTGTGTCGTGTTGTTACTGTTGGTTCTTTTTTTTCTTTCTTATTTTTTTCCTTAACTTTTGTTTGTCCAAACAAAACCCTTAGAACATCTCATGGCCATTTCCACCTATTTAAAGATGATCAAACTGGCAGGAAGGCTGGCAGCAGCGGAGACTTTGTTCTTGTTTTGCCTCTCAGCGAGAGCCAGCTCACGGAGGTCGTTGATCCCTTGTGGCCCTCCCAGCGAGGCCACCGACAGCTGAAGTTAGCAAATCTGAGCACTCGAAGACCCGTGTGTCCCTAATGAGGGCTCCAAGCCCTGATGTCAAAGTGCAAGTGAAACGGTTCATGCTGCTGAGCCCTTTTTATTAGGCAGAAAAACAAAATGTCTCTAACCCTGGCTGCCTTTAGCCTGGAAAAACCTGCTGACCCAGTGGTGTGGGAGCCTGTACTGATTCATCCGCGTCCTGGATGTGTTTGTTATATTGCTGATCTGAGAGGCAAGAAACTGGTAACTGGAAGGGACGCTTGTCTCTTTGGGAACCTGGCAGCAGAGGAAGGAAATGAGTAAGGGGAAAGAACTGAAAATTCCTTTTAGGGGGAAATTTTGGTTTGTTTTTATAAAGTCTTGCTGGGTGTTTTTTTGACCTTTCTGCCTGGTGTAAAGGCTACTGTCCTTTAAAAGCTGATGAAAGGTAGGGGGTGAATTTAAAATACAATAAGTCATGTCAGATACTGCTCTCTCCAGGCAAGCCATGATCCCACAAGGAGCAAAAGCATGTGTGTGTGAGTTTATACCTGCTACAGACTCCCATTTAAACCAGTGGATGAAAAGCAAAGCGTGTGCTAAAGACTTTGCCATTAATAGAGATCTGGAAAAAGCTCTATTAATAGCCCAAGGGGTCATTATATATTTAATGGAGGCCAACCTCTCTTTGACGTGTACTCAATTAAAATGTTTTGCCTTCGCTAAGTGGCTCTGGTGGATGACCATCCCTTCCCATCTGTGGTGCTGGTGACCATTAAGCCATGCAAAATGTGCCAGATGTTGCAGAGGTGGAACCTCATCCATGCAGCTCCTGATAAGATGCATTAGGGCTGCTCTAATGTCATTGTTCCCTTGGGGTCTCTCCCCATGACACATTAGTGGGTTTATCATGACCTTGATTTAACACCGCAGAGAGTTTCCTTCAAGAGGCTCCTGTTAAGCTGAGCACTGACGGTCTGCGTTTTGCACAGAGTCTGGTGTTCAAGAAGCAGTGTCCAGTGTCACCTGCTTCTCTGGCTTGTTCGGAGGACTTCAGCATGTTTAACTGCTATTTGCTTTAGAAGTCCGAGAATTGACCCTGGCTTGTGGTCAGACGTAAGAGATGCTGAAACTGCCAAGGTGGGAAATTGCAGAACCTCCAGCAAGACGCACATGGTGTTCACGTTAACATGTGTTTGTACCAGCTTGAGAGAGGTTCTCTCTATCCTTACTCTCTGTTGTAGACAGAACTGGTGGCAATCTTTACACTGCTGTAAGTGCCGTGACTATTACATAGGAAAAAAAAGAGACCTCCTGAAAGTAACAGCTCAGTTCCCTGGCCATCCCGAAGCAAATGAAACTCGGTTTGTATGGGTTATACATGACACTGTTGATATTGCTGGCTGTAGTGTGTGTTTGCTTGTCCAGCCCAGGGCAATCATTTTTATATACATCTTTGCATTTTTTACTCTCATAGATACCTAATGTATTTATCATTTTCTCACCATGTCTGTTACCCTCTGTGTTTTTCTCTCTCTTCTCAGGTGTTCTGTGTCTCAGATCTGAGCTCTATCCCATCAGCCTTTGTACTAACAGTCTCTGAGGCTCCTGGTTTACCCATAATGCATCCTTTTTTCTTTCACTTCTCTATTTCACCAAAACGTCTTCCTAAACCTACAATCTTCCTACAGGCACTTTTTAATTTACCCTTTGAACTTTGACATTACTACACCAACTTAATTCTTCCTTTGAAGGACACTTGCCCCGTTAGTAAATGCATGGAGGTCTCGTATTCGGACTCTTGTATGAAAAGTTCATATTGTTTGCTTTTGTATATGAAGACTCTTCAAGTCTCTGCTTTTACTGGTGAGACACTTGCTGTAGCCTTGCGGCTTTCATCCCGCTGCAGAAGAGTGCTGACAATGTTTGGTTCCTACGTTACAACAGATACCCCAACCGCCAAAATGGCCTTGAGACCACTCACGAGGATAGTTTTTGGCGTGTTTTTGGAGAAGCTTTGGAGGATTTGGAAACATGCGGCCAGTCTGAACTTTTGAGGGAGATTGAGGTAAATCACTTTCTGAACTTGCTGCTGATCTGACTGTTTTGCTCTTGACGTAAATGTCAGACTGTTTCCCCAGATTTGTTCGTTGCCCATAGCATCCCTGTGCTGCCAACGGTGTGAAGAAGGGTTTAAGTTTAATCTGTGTCAGTGTTTGTGCTAATGGGTGACTGTGTCTCATTAGGCAGTTGCTTGTGTGCACTTTTTCCCCAAGTTGATGGCTTACCCACCAGGAGCTCCACGCTCTTTTTGCAAACTGTTGCTGACCAACAATATTCACATGGCTGTTGGCAAACCTTCCCTGTCAAACGGTAAACCCTCTTCTTGGAAAGATATTGTCTGTCCAAAGCACTTAAAGGCCAACCAAAAGGAGCCCCCCAAAACCCCATTGGGACTGAAGACTTGGCTTAATTCAAATATAGACAGGCCCAACATATATCTTGCATTCAGCTGTCACTCTGCTGGAAACTGTTTCAGTGAAATAGGTAATTGGAAGCTTTTCAGCCAGCCTTCCCCATGGAAAAATCTGAGAAAGTAATTGCTTCCTGCAGAAATAAAGGTGTTTCCTCTCTTCACAAACCACTTTCTCTTTTCTTTATCCAAAATGCTTTGGAGGTCATGTTATTGTGTCCGGTTATAGGATGAGGAGCCTGGATTTCTAAGCTGTGGGATGCAAATAAAAGCCTCCCTCGAGACTGTTGAGCAGCGGGAAGCAAACCTGCCTGGCAGGATGGGGCCCGTGCTGCTCCCCTCCCCGATTCAGCTCCCGCAGCCCAAAAGAAAGAGCGGGACCCCATGAGCTCATCTGTCCCCTTGCCTTCTGGGTGCAAAGGAGTGGGGAGAGCTCACTGGGTCATGCCCTCCATCACCCCCAATGGGACTGGTTTTATGCACAATTGTATATTGCTTAGGCTTCAGACAAAAAAGGCAATTTCTGAATTAATTGGAGGTGGAAAAGGAAAGTCCTGTTTTCGTCTATATGGTGACAAGGGACTTACTAATTGTTCTTTCCTCCTTGATCCTTAGCAACTGTAAATGGGGGAGGAAATCTCAATTAAATTTATTGTGCTGAAGCACGAAATGGTGTATTTGTTATCTTAACTGCTTAAGAAAATGCTGACAAAAAAAAACCCAACACACAAAACCCCAAACCCCCAGCCTCCCCAAACTACAACTTCTTCCCTTGATCACTTATTTCCTGGACCTGAATGTATTTAGAAATGAGCTTAGGCAGCCGCTATCAACCTTTCTGAACTGTAGTTGACTGCTTAAGAGAAAGTATCCCTCTGAAATGACGCATAGATGTTTCTGTTCTGCACAATGGTTGGCATCTAAATGTAAAAGAAGGGATTTGTTGGACTACTGTGAAATGCTAGGATAGAGAAAATATCTTTCTGCCCGATCCTTTTCCTTTTCCAGGGATCCATGGTGCAGAGACGTGTGGGCTTTTGGTTCATGCTGTTTTAAGGGATTGAAACTTTGACAGTTATAGCAATGTTTTTAAAAATTTAAAGAAACTTTACAAAAAGCTGAGCACCTTTAGGGTTTTGGTGCATTTAACACATTTCTGGAATATTTTGGAAAGTTCTGGGGAGAAAAGGAAAGTGCTGTGTTTTTAGCAGAAGTCTGACGGGTTTCAACTCTCCTTTTATCGAATCCAAAGTACCACTGATCTGTTCCTCCCTCTCCATGTGCCCGTTGTTCCTGAGGCATGGTGTAGGATGTGCAGTGCTCACTGGGGCTTTTGCTATATTGCAGGTTTCTAAGACTCAGCTCTTGACCTCCTGTGGTTTTATGACAGTCACAGATTTTTTTTTTTTTTTTTTTAATTTTTTTGAAGATTTGACCCTTCATGCTCCACATTTGAAAAAGAATAAGACTTATGCAAGATGACCCAGGATAGCCTGGAAACAGGTTCAGACACAGTAGCAATCCACTTCCAGACTATGGGATATGGGTAGAAACAGGCTTTTTCCAGTATGTCTAGTGGAGCATGTGTCCCTGCTTTGCTTTGAGGGCAGCCAAGACATGGAGAAAAATAGTGTGAGACAGCCACAGGCTGGAGAAGTCCAGAATTGCCCTTTCTGCTGCTTGCACTTAACCCAAAGCACCTAGCAAATTGCTTATGATGCTGCAAGGAGTAGTTAAATACCTTGAAGATAGGAAGGAGTTGAATGCTGTTGGGTACTGCCTGGTTACGGTATTTGCAGTGCATGAGGGAGGACAGTAGCACAACGTGCGCAGACCTTTCTGTTCTCCTCACTGACTCTGCAATGCTGGTGTTGGTACGGCATGGCGCAGTGTCCTGGGGGGTGTTGAAGCTGCCCGAGGTCAGTGAACAAAAGTACCCTGGTTGGCCGTACCTCTGTTTGTTAATCTGCGTTTCAAGTATGTGGTAAGTCAATGTCCTTCCAGCATGTAGCAGGTATTTGAGTTTTGTCCAAACTCAAGCTGATTAGGTAATTTTTGTGTGAAGACCTGAAAAGTGCAAAGCTAAAAAGTTTTCCGTATTTTATCTGTCCCTATTTGGGATAACGTGGGTAGTGCTGGCATTTTCATACTACCACCAGAATTTGCTTTATCTGCTTTTGTTCCAGCTTGGAGCGAAGAGCTGGAGGGCCTTGATTAGAGATTTAGTCAGATGATATTTCCCCCGTGCACAGAAGCAATTGCTCTTTGACTTGGCATGTTTAGCATTGCAGAATTTTGCTATCTGCTCCCTACCTTTCCTTTTCTTTCTTCTACCTTTTGACATTTAATGGGACTGCAGACCCTTGGAGCCTGAACTTTGAAATGACAGTTTTCATTATGCCATTTAAATGGACTCTGTGACCTGGAGCCAGTTGAGGTTCCACAGACTGGATTCTTGACTCCTTCGTTAGCTTTGATCAATGTAATCTCGTTAGTGAAAAGCATTGCCAAATATAATAGAATCTACTTAGGGGCATCTTTTAATGTATGCTATCAAGGATGACCAGGCTTAAATACTACTTAATTTCATATTTTTAACTCAGTTTTGCTCAGTGACAGCTCCCATTTACTGACAGATAAAATCCTAATTTCTCTGCTGAATTGGCCTCAGTGGAGTCCAAGGTATTGACTTCCCTGGGCCATTGCCAGCACTCTGCAATGCTGATGGTGAGCTGCAGCCTGCAGGGGTAGGCTGGAGAGCCAGGCAGACACTGCGTCCTCTGGGACCCCGCTGAGATCGGGATGTTCATCCTTCTTGACTACCAAGAAGGTTCCTGCACAAGATATGAGGTCTGCCTGGCCCTGTTTGTGTAGAAGGGGTCATCAAAAAGTAAGGAGATGCTTCACAAATGCTTCCTTCTGAGGTAAAGCTCCATGTTGGGGTGGAGGTGGCGACCACCCAGCAGGTCAGCGATAGACCTGGCAGCAGGCTCCTGAGGTCTGAAAATGGCTTTTATAGCTAACTGAAAGAGCTTCTCGGTACTTATTTTCTGATCAGTGAGAACAATGGTGCCCCCCGTTGTTGTCTGTGCCGCTTTTGTTGCCCGTGGTCCCCCTCCTCCTGCTGCTGGCTCAGCAGTGACTTTGTGCCCTTGCCCTGCAGGCATCCATCATGACAGGGAGCGTGCACAACCTGGGCCTAGAAGGCAGCAAGCTGCTCCTGGACTCTGTCAACCCATCGGGACTGAGCCCGTTGAGGAAAGCTAACTCCAGCTGTGATGACGGACAGACGGAGGGCAGCAGCTCCCCTGCCAAGAAGAACGAGAGGAACCTGGACATGAAGAAGATTGAGAAGGAGATGCAGGAAATCATGTCCCCTACCCCCCTCGAGTTTCACAAGGTCTGTGTTGCCAAAGGTTGGTCTGGCTGTGGCAGGGCAGTACCTCCATGGTTAAAGCTGTAGAAGCTTTGCAACCTTGTAGAAAATCTCCTTTGTTCAGAGGGCCCCTCCCAGAAAATGTTCCTTGTTAAAGCTGGCCCCCACCAAGGTCTGCAGCAAAGGTTGCCAGAGGGTCAGATGAAGACGAAGTGGCCTCTTCAGAAGAATAACAGGATTTAGCTGCCATGCTTCAGCAGGGTTCAAACCTGTGCTTTGCTGTTTCCCTTTATTATATGAGATTTCCAGGTCCTTGTGTTCTGGAGTTCGTTAATTGGTGCTACAGATACAAGCGAGAGAGCTCAAAGTACGGCCCTCTGGAGACCCACTAACCCTTTTCCAGTGGCACGCTCCATTCATTAGGCCACTTTTTGTACAAAAAAATAACTTACAATAACTTAAAAATAACTTACTTTCCCTCCCCTTCCACTCCACCCCCAGCCTTTCCTGAAGGGGTGCAAATGGTAGGACTTCAGCAATGGGATACTTGTTTAAATTCAGTACCCAGCTGAACGTAGCCAGTTTAAGCATGGTGCAAGGCAACGGTAATTAGAAGAAGTAATTAACAGTAGAAGCTGCTGATGCAGAATGCAAGCAGGGAAGGGAGCTGGAGACGTTTCAAAAAATTTGATTGCCTTTTTCTTTCCTAGTGTGACTTTAGAACGAAACCTGCAGTTATGGTAGCTGAAAAAAACAACTTTTTCATGTTTGATCTGCTCTTGCCCTTCAGGGCATGGCAAATGTGTCTTTAAATAAAACTCCTTTGTACCTGCAGGAGGAGAGCTGTGTAATTAGGCATGTTACAGGGTGACTCTTCATTCTGCTGGAGCATCTGGTGTTGGCTGTGTTTGGAGATGCGGTTGAGGCCAGGTGGGCTGCTCCTCTGCATCCTCCTGGGCACTGTCCTTCCCAAGGACCACACGTCCATGAGGCTTACCCAGCCAAGAGCACAGTGATGGAATTAGAGCCTTACGGTAGAGATGCACTCCCAGTTCATAAGAGGCAAAGGGAGATTTTGGTGGTGTTGGGGAATCAGTTGTCCCTGGCTCCCAGTGTTATCCTGTGGCAAGATACACTTCCAGCAGCGCACTCCTCCTTTAGATGAGGTCAAAGTGTGATGTGCTGAAGGGAAGGGCGATGAGGTTACCCATTTCTTGTCCTCAGTACATCAGCGCTTATTGATATGAATTTTCTGAAAAGACCTTGTGAATAATACGGAGAAGTTTAGATGTTCCTGCTGAGTGATGTATTAAAAATGAGCTGTCTTCACATTTGACACACTACATTGAAAATTCCCTGTGAACGTGTTGATTTTTCACGTACTGGTCTGGCATACACAGAGGATGCATAGCGTAACCTGGGCCAGGGAAGGCGATGCTGCATTATTAACACTTGCTTTGTTTCTCTTCGGGTGAAATACTGCAGCTGTCTGTATGACACTGCTCGTGTTTCCTTCCACATCCAAGGGAGAGAGACTGTTGTGTGGCTGGTTATATGCTGGTCACCAAAGCGCTTCTCCATGCGATCTACCTAAGGTGATGGTGTCTGGTAAATAAGGCTCAATCTGTATTAGCTGCCCAGGCTAAGAAAATTCTGCCCAGGAGACCCAGTGCAGAATTGCTGTAGGTCTGCACACATTACCTATGTTATTCCTATCCTGCCAACCTTGTACATCTCCTCCTTCCTCTGCTGTATTAAAACATGTGTTTTCTGTTTCTGTCCCTCCAGATGACACTCCATAAAGACCCAGAGAGCGAAGACTTTGGATTCAGTGTGTCGGATGGCCTGTTAGAAAAAGGTGTCTATGTAAATATGGTCCGTCCGGATGGGCCAGCAGATCAGTGTGGCCTCAAGCCATATGACAGAGTGCTTCAGGTAATAAATGCAAAATGCAGTTCTGGAGGCTGGGACGGAGTGAATGAGTGGCTGAGAGGAAGAGAGAAGTGAGACCCATCCATGGCAGCACTAACTTTAATGAAAGGTAATAGTTAGCCAACTAGGTGAGCTCTTAGCCACCGAGCACTCAATGAGACCTGTGTTTTATGAGAAATCACTAGGTAGTACCCCCAGGGGTACCCCTAGGTTACACCTATTCCAGGACACAGCCTGTCCTGGCACTGACCTTTTTGAGCTTGGGCAGCTCAAAACAACCAAAAAGCTGTGTTGCTTCCTCTCCTCACCCTCAGTCCTTTTCCTGTCATGTAAGAGGGTGATTTTTGGATGAACTAGACTGTGTTGACCAACCAATATGTGTTCCTGTGAAGCCTCATGTGGAGTTAAGTAGTGTTCATGAAGTTCTGTGCATGCCTTTGACAACTAAAAGAGTTTTCTAGGAAACACATCCTTCAAGCAAAGTGTTTTTCATGGATATTTTTCTTTGAAAGATACTTGATCTGAAATAGCTGATGCAGAAACAGAATAAAAACTCGGGTCAAAAGCACAGTCTGTAATAAATGTGACCTGGGCATATCGGACTACCAGAGGGACAGTAAGAGCATGGTGAGTTTTTGAGATTGGAGAGGAGCTTTATATGGATTTTAGCCTTGGGGCAACTCAAACAGCAACGGTGAGGAAGTGCAACCCCAATGGAAAAATTGCCACCATTTGGAAATGCAGATATTGTGACCATATTTGGACACATTCAGAAAGATGTTTAGTTTTACTAATTTCTAGGCAGGGGTTGTTAGCAGTAGGATGAAAGCCAATATATTATGTACATCAGGTAACTGGAGAACTGGCAGCGCTGTGGGGAACCTTGTTTAAGCTTGTTATGGTCTCTAGCCAGTTGGCTGCTATACAATTATTCCTTCTCGGCTTCAAATAAAAGATGGTGCAAGAATGAACAAGAAGCTAATTAGGCTCTGGGCTGCCTTTCTATTGAATGTTGGATGTGTCGCTTTTTGCAAGTGCCAAGTGCTCTGGGAGGTGTGCCCAAAATCCTAAACAGAGCGGTGTGGAGACTTTCAACACCCCCCTTCCACACGCTGCACTGCACGGCTTACACCTACAAGAAGACAAGGCAATTGCCATCGCGTTGACATGTGGAGTTGTGAATGAGGGATTGCAGACCTGGTACAGGCAACTCCCATCAAGAAGTACAGAGATGCATTGCTGAGGATGCTTCACCCTGCTGCTGACTGTGGGCATGATGATGTGCCTGAAGGCCGGTGAAACACCTTGTCCCTGCTGTAACAGACCCTCTGCCTCTTGGCTGGATGGATTAGCCGGAGCACGGCATTGCACTAATGGCACTTCTGCACTGGAACTGCCTGGCTGGCGTAGAGCAAAGGCAGAGCAAGCTCATGGCTTATCTCTCCTTGTCCACGTGTGGTCTAGAAGTTGTCCTTAGTTAATATTCTGTAGGGAGCAGTATTGGGGTCAATCGTGTGGACACCAGCTAGGGCAGGGGGACACTGCTGCTGTCACAGAGCCCAGCTCCGTGACCATGCAATAATGCTGGGAAAGGGTTTTGGATGAAAGGGTTGCATGGACTCATCCAGCCCTTACCTAGAGAAGGAAGCAACGCCTGGCCCCAGGGTTTATGTTCGCTCCAAAGGTGGGTGGGAAATTCCTTTCTCCATTCCTTGCTTCCCCTCCCCGTGCCTTTTGCCAGCCCTCTCCATCCCGGAGCTGTCGTGGCACCAGGCCCAGGTGCTCTGGTAGCTGTAGGCAAGAGAGCTGGGGTGGTTCTTGCAGGTGACCCAGCCTAGAAATGTGCTTGAAGGTCTGCAAGAGACAGTAGTAAAAGTGCTTTCACTGCTGAACCCTGCAGAATTTGCAGCCGCCTTCTGAGCCCACCTGAAATGCATACAGACTCCTCTGAAATGAAGGATGTAAATGGGGAGAGGGGAAGCAGAAACTGTTCAGTATACTCTCAATTTACTGCTGGCTGAGCTGGAAAATGGTTGGCAGAAGCCGCAGGGTCTGAGCTGTATTTGTTTTCTAGGCGCTGAATACCCCGCATCACGAGTTTAAGGCCAATAAAAGCCATGACGGCAAAAAAGTCATGGAAAACAGCAACCTTTCTCCTACAGGCTTGAACTGGAGAACTGGTTTTGAGCCCTTCAGTGTTTAATACTTGTCATACTGCCCCAGACACCAGGGTCAGGGTTTATGCCCGATCCAGACTTCTTTTTCCCCTTCCTCTACCAGTTATTGCACCATTTTTCAGCTAAGCAAGGATGTGCTCAGCCTGAAGGAGTGCCCCCGCTCTGCTCTGCTGTGAACCTGGAATCAGGGACCCCCGAGAGTTGTGTGTTTTCACAGGTGTGGGTTTAGCACCAACCTTGCATTTTCTGACTAATAAATATGGTCTTTCTGTTGTTCCTCCCCATGGCACATCCTAAATCCATCCCGGCAGGTAAACCGCATCCGAACGAGAGACTTTGACTGCTGTCTGGCTGTTCCCCTGATTTCGGAGGCTGGAGAAAAGCTGGACCTGGTGATTAGCCGAAACCCCTTGGCACTGGCCGCCAACGCTCCCCCGGAGGGGAACAGAGAGCTGCCGGCGCAGGTGGCCCGCGGCGCCGAGGTCAAGGCGAGCGTCCAGACGCTCTGAGCAGCGGGAGCAGAGCAGATGGTGCCCAGGGCCTCTACTGAGCCGTTGCGGTATTTGGGGTGTTTTTCCTGTTTTTTGCACTGGCATTTGTAAACGCTGTGTGTACCATAACCTGCAAGTGGGGAGGTGGGTCTTCAGTGAGCCTGTAGACCACCAAATGTTGCTGGGAAGGTCAGTGGTGGATGCGCGTCTCGGGCCGTGGGCAGCGCCGGTGATGGGGCAAGCTGCCCACGGGAGGAAGGAGCATCCGCAGCCGTCCCCAGTGGCAGGGCACCCCCCGGCACCCCGGCCGTCGGGGTGCGCAGGGTCCTGCCTCCGACATCCTCCTCAGCCTGAAGGCCTTGGCCATCTTATAAACACACATGGTGCTATTCTGTTTCTTGTTTGCTTGGTTAATCGCATACAGCAAGACTGAGACACTTTTCCTTTTCTGTTGTGCCCAGCTCCATCCTTTGAACACTCCTGATAAATCAATTTCCACAGCTCCTTGTGCTCCTGGTGCAGGACTGTGGAGAGCCCTGTTTAAAAGACGTTTCAAAACATGCTTGAGAGTGGCTAGATGCAGTTCTTGTTCAAAAATTGGCATTTGCAGATGCCTCCCGCCAGCCCTGTCCGCAGTCCCCGCCAGGGCTGACTTGCCCTGCGGTGGGATGAGGCACCTCGTCTCGCCATCGATTCCTGTGATCGATGTGGTTACCTGTGCTGGAGTAGTTATTTCAGAGCAGAAGTACCCAAGGCTAAAGGCCTTGAATACCTACCCAAATCCCCAGCCACCTTGTTCGTCTGGGCTTTATGGAGATCTCTTGCTTGCAAACCTGTCCTGTGCCCGCAAGTAAATAGCAGAATAGTGATCTTCCCAGGGCTGTCCCTGATGTTTTGAATTAGTAAAACCTTGTCGTCTCCCGTCAGGCAGTGGCATGAGAAGCCCTTTGTTAGATGGAGGTTGTGTCCCCTGTGTCCCGCATGGGCCGGGTGGTGCGTGTGCCCATGCGGGTTCGGCTGCTCGCCCCCCGTCCGCCCACCTTCGCCTGTCGCTGGCCTCTCCGTGGCTTTGCAAGCATGACGCCCCGTGGTCGGTCCCCTCCCTCGCGACAGCCTCGAGCCCCGTGGGGAAGAGGGGCTGTGATGTTTGCATCGGTTTCCTCATCTGCCTGCCACGTTTCACGTATTAGCACTTTATGATGACGTTCGTGTCCCGGCGGTGGCGTGAGCCTGGCGTCGCGTTCCGCGGGAAGGCTCGGGCTTGGCGGGGACGAGGAGCTCGCTCGGTCAGACACCGCATCCCCGGCGCCCGCCGCCCCCATTCCCCACTCACCCTTTTGGTTCCTCCGTCACCGCCCGTGTGCCGGTGGTGCGCGTGGGGCGTGGGGTGGGTGTACGGCACGTCTTCGTTGCTTTGCTGAGCCAGGACTCGTCCCCCCGCCCCGTCTGTCCCTGAGCCACTTTGCGACTCTGTCCCTCCGTGATAGCGCAATGGATCAGGGTGTTTCTTCCAGACACGTGCCCAGCCCCATCCAGCTATTTGTCGTTGTAGCCATTTTCTCTTTCTCTTCGAGTATGCAATATCCCATACCATTGCTGCCACAACTAGATAATGTGCCATAATTGATACTGTGGAGCATTGACAGTGCAGCCGAAAGTGTTTTTATATGCAATATTCTGAGCAGTGGAAGCTCACTGGGGCTTCTCATAGGTTTTTAATGAAGACTTTTATTAAAGGATTTAAAAAAAAAAAGGAAGAAAAACTTGGTCCTTGTATCCCTTCCTATGCATTTTGAATGATATGAAGATGAAATGCATTACTTAAATGTGTATTTTTATCCATATATTAGAGTGTATTCCTTGTAAAGTATTTTTATATGCTAATTTTCTTATGTATCTATGAAAGCACAATATTTAAAAGTACAGCATTTCAAAGAATATTTTAGTCCTGTTTTGGACCTATTTGTAAATCTCTGTATTTAAATGGGATTGCAATGACTTTGACTTTTTTTTTTTAATTAAATAAAAGCAAATGAAATGCGTTTGTTTCCGTTCATGCCTCTTTTTCCTGGAGGACAACAGTGAGGCAAGACCCTGCTTCCAGCCCTTTTTTAACATGCCAGAGGACCCCCAGTTAGGAGACACCTTGAAGGGCAAGGGGGAGGGCACACGGGGGTTTGCTGGGGGGGACACTGCTTGTAGGTCTACCAGGGTAGGGCTGGGGTTGTCCCTTGCCACCGTCCGGCAGCAGGACTTGGGTCGTTGCTTCCCTTCCTGTGGACATGGAGGCAATTTTGCTGTAGCTCTTAGCGATAAGATCTGGAGATGCTTGTGCGTGCGGTTACAGCATGGCTTGCAGCTTCACTTGGCCACACTGGAAATCTTGTTGGGTTAAACCTGGGCTGCTTCATGACAAAACACTGATGCAGCAAAGCACGTGGTGGCCAAGATGTGGCCGTGGCAGATATTTGCAAAGCTATGGTTAATCCCTGGGCATGGGTTAGGAAATCACTGGAGGATGATGTGCTGGCAGGAGGTGTCCTGTCTGGTGCCCAGCACCCTGCGGCAATAAGGGGTGCCTTGGGGAGCCACACTGTGGTAGCCAAATTATCCCACCTCTGAAACCAGCCATCCAAAGAGACGACTGCAGCTAACCCAGGACGTAATTCCTTGTGTCCCTATGTTGAAGATTTCTTCCCTTTGCTCTTACAAAGGGGTTTGGGGCACCGCTACGCTCCCAGCGTGGGCAGCGCAGGCTGGGACATAGGGAATCTCTGCTCACTGGCAAGGAAAGGGTGGGCTGGGTTTTGCAACCCTTCGTGGCCAAGTGGGTAATGCAGGAGTTCTCGGAGGCTGAGCATGGTATGGAAATGCTCCTGGTTAGACCTGGGGAATCATTGCCACATAAACAAGCCTTATCTGCCATCTCTGGCCGCCCTCCTGGGGCGCAGACTTCAGAACAAGGCCCTTCACATGTTTGGCACCGGAGACTTGCCAAAGCCACGCAGAGCCAACCGAGGCGCTGGGGTGATGGCTGGTTTAACGAGTGCCTGTGCAACGTGACCGATGGGGTTTCGGTGCGTATACCAGGTAAAAGGTTAGCACGGTGCTGCTCCCCTGGTATGCGCTGCTGGTCACCTCGTTGGGCAGCGTATTCTCCCACTAATGCCAGCTTGCTGGTGGACCTTGGATGAAGGAGCCAGCTGCAGCCGTGGCAGGTGATGGCCACCCATGGCAAGCAGATGAAACCCTTTGGTGGCAGCTCGTGTGGCACTTAGTGGCTTTTTAAATTATTTGTTTATTCATTTTATTTTAACCTGAGAGACGTTGCTGTTGCTGGCTGTGCCGATATCAAGCTGCTCAGCCTAGGCATTGCGGGCTTTGCCAATGGGAGGAGAAATCCCCGACAAAGTCCTTGAATTGCACTCGGCAAAATAACCAACTAAGCCAAACCCCCCCGAATAAAGACAGCTGTGGGGCTAATCCTGGGCACGGGGTGCTGGAGCCTCAGCAGTGATCAGGGCCTGATGCACGAATGCTTTACTTCTCACAAATAGTAGCCACCTACAAGTTGGTTTTTTCCTTTCCCTACCTCAGATCAGGACTTACTTAAGGAAAGGCCCCTCTGGTTTAACCTTCATCTGTTTGACTGAACAGGCCATCAGTGAGCCTGAAAAGACAAGTCCCATATACCAGGGAGAAAAATGTTGCTTTGTTGGGTTGGTTTTTTTTTTTGAGGGTTTTTTTTCTTTCTTTTTTCTTCCTATTGGGCTTTTCTGATGTATTTGAACCCCCACGGTAGTGGTGCTATGCAGCCAGGATGGTACAGACAGCAGTGGGCAATGCCCTGGGATGGGCTGAGCTGGGGCAGCTCAGCCCAATGCCAATTCATAAAGCTGCAATTGTCTCCCTGTGCCCCTGTGAAGAGGCCAAGGAAAGCTGATGTCTGCAGGGACAGTCTTGTGAGGACATCAACACTCTATTTCCAAAGAAAGAAAAGAAAAAAGAGAGAAAATGAAGAGAGAGAAAAAAAAAAGTTGACTTTCTCATGGCCTTGTAAGACTCAACACGTGCCCAACTGCACTTGATGAAGAGCTGGTCTGGTGCAAACAAAGCACCAATGAAGTAAGGCCACAGGCTGGGCAAGACTGAAATGAAGTGAGTTGGGACCAGCACTGACCATTCTTCATGCTCAGCCAAAGTCATTGCTGAGGGACCCAAAAAAATCCCCAAACACCCAACCAAACCGCTTTTGATGACCCAGGGATGCTTTAGCAAGTAGGCTGGGGGGTGCACAAGAAATTGGGAGGGGACACAGCTATACCCCCCACCATATGACGGTGTGCTCAGTGATAAAACTGGGGAGGGTAGAGGTGGGCGAGGGCAGCCATTGCTCAGGGTCTGGCTGGGGATTGGTGGGTTAGTGGTGAGGAATTGTTTTCTTTTGCATCACTTGTTTTTCTTGGTTTTGTTTTTTTCTCTTTGTTGTGCGCTGGTTTTTTTTTTTTTCCTCCCTCCTTTTTTAATTATTAAACTGTCTGTATCCCAACCCATGAATTTTTGCACTTCTACCCTTCCAGTTCTCTTCCTGTCCCACTGGGTGAGGGGGTGAGTGAGCCGCTGTGTGGGGCTGAGCTGCCAACCAGGATGATACCATGACAGACATAAAGTCAGAGAGTGAGCTGGGCAAAGCAGCTTAGTGAGCTGGGCTTATATGTGTATATATATATATATATATATACACACACACATATTAAAAAAATGGACTATATTATAAGGACAAAAAAAACCCCCAAACCAACAACCCCACAATAAATAATAGGTTTAAAGGAAGCATTGAGCTACTCCAAGACCAAAGAAAGCATCCAAGAGCATAGCTGGTTTATAAAGGAAAGTTTTATTTTCAGTTATAAGGTGATTACAAACTCATCTAAAAAAAGCAAAGATGACTTAAAAATATCCATATACATTTTATTTATCTAAAAAGCAAAACAGAAACTGCAAAATACAAACATTTA